ATCTAGTTAATTCAAGAAACGTATGTAAAATTTTAAGAATCTGCATTAATGATAAGTTATGACTACTATAAAATAATTTTAATAATACCCTTATACCTCATCAAAAGAACCCCCTAGTAGTTTTGTAGCTGATTGTGGTACAATAGTGCTAGCGACCGTATCAAGTAGCATCACCTTAGTTTTCACTGTTTGGTCCATCACCATAAAATGCAGTTTAAACCTAAAAAGACATCAATAGCGTGCAGTTACTGATAATAGGACATTGTAACTATTAAATAGTATAAACCATCAAAGTGTATATGCTTAGAAACATTTACTTGGCCTCCACTTTTGTGACGATTTCATTGCACGCCTTACACCACCAAGTAAGACCATTGATACGAACTGTTGCTCCTGCTTGCTTCTTAGTTCTTTTTTCCACCGTTCTGTTGCATTTAATGCACCCAAAATAGTACCAACCCCAATCTGTGTCAATGACATAGATCGAACACACAATCTTGCACTTCTCAACCTTCCAAGGGTAAAAAACCATCATAGATTATAGAAATAAGTAAAACATAAGCATTCTAGAGGACATCCCAAAATATTCTAAAAATATCAGATTATTTTACCTCAGAAGTCAGAAGTAACTCTTCAATAGTCTTCTGTTGCAGGTTAGACCAGTATTCTTTCTTCTTCACCGTCTTATCATCATTTGCAGTCTCAACAATTGTGAGAGCAAGACCATCATCTGGCAAACTGTAATTTCATGCAAATGACAACCTTAACTCAAGGTAATGTAAACTTCTGATGATATATGAGGATTCATAGCATGCGATTGAATTATAAACACTTACGCATTCATGAATTCTGCAACCTCAGGTATAACAGGATTCATCATTAGCTTGGATGTCTCGAAAGCATTTGTAATCTGAAGTTTGCCTACATAGAAGACCGTAAAATTCACTCATTACGTACTTCTTTGGTCCAAGGTGTACAAAGGTCAGTTCTTCGAAAAATTACCTCTGTAATGTCCAATTTTAGCAAACCTGATAAGGAAAATGACAACCTTACCAGTTGTTTCTTGGCAACTTGTCCAAAGTTGATCAGCACACCTTTCCCACAAACAACATGACAGTCGATCGTCACTATAAAAATTCCAAAAGTATAGTCTAATCAGTAAATCATTAGTAGTAAGTTGCAATGCAATATGTACACCAATAAAAAGTAATTATAGACTCCACAAAATGTAAGGTTAAGAAGATAGATTACTTAGTATCTCGTAGCTCAAATTCAATCTTTTTCCTCTCCTTCCCATTGACTTGAACAGTTTCAATATCCTTGACGTCAATGACTTGGCCAAGCACGTCTGTAACATTAAAATAGGAAACATTGAGTTAGTCGAAAATATTGGTTTAATAACCATATCATTAAACCAATATTCATTGTAAGATGTAAACGAAAGTAGGAAGAAAACAGTTTATTAAGACTTACCAACCAAGAAACTGTGGTTAAGATTTCCACTTAGAATAGTGCCAAAATCCACGAGATTGACAAACTCATCATTGTGTTTCACACTGCACTTGGTGATAGTAGTGTTGTCTGTGAATGATATTTTGTAATTGTGCTTAGTTGGACGATATTGACTAGATGCAGATGTCAAGGAGAAGTTCTCAATGACTTTCCATTCTCCTACTGGAACCAACCGTTCAACACGGCTCACATATGTCTTCTTACACGATGTGTGTATCAAAGTACCCTACAAAAGGTAACGTGATTTCATATTAGATCATATATAAAACTTACAATTACCATTTTGTGTTCAGTTTACAAAAAACATAGACTCACATATTCATCTCCAAGAATAAGCTCCAAAGTTTGTCCTGACTGGACGGTGTATTGCTTCTATGAGTGCAGGACTTTCATGCGGATTCGCCAAGATGACTTGAATGGTTTGACATCGGCCAGGTTAGTGAAAGCAATTAGAGAACTCATTTTGCGAGAATTGTGATATAGAAACTGATATTTTGATTAGAATTAGTTAAGAGTCTATATATAAGAGGAGTACATATTGGAAGGATATATTCCGATATCTTGTTATGATATCTAATTAGTTAGAGTAATTGACTGTATGCTATGATGATTATGGAACGAAAGATTTAAAAGAATATTTTCAACTCTTAACTAATTGCTAAAACTGTATCAGAATATACCATATTTTATTGTTATTCGTATTTTCAAAGATATGCGTAGTTATGATTTAAAATCATTGATCTCCGAGATTTCAATACGATAATATTTATAGATTTACCAGGATTTTCTATGCTAGATCGTTACATATGTAAAGTACGTCTAAAACGAATATTTCTTAATAATATGTTGAGAATATAGAATTACGTGGTTTTATATTGGTTTTAGATTGGCACCATTTGAATTTACATGATTTTCAAACCGGTTTATATGCAGTGAATAACTTTATAAATGGTTTCATCTAATTGATCATTCCCATGTCTTTATCATATCATAATAAGATATATCATTCGACTTTCAATATCCTGTAGTTGATAATAATACATTTTCAATATAAGTTGAATTGGGGTTTAGACAAGTAATTATGAAATTTATGAATGGTGCCTGATCTTTCATAGTTGTCTGATGAAACTATACATTATATTTACTTGCAGTTGATCTTTCAACTTTTATTTGCATGCAGGGAAAGGATATGATGCTCGAAAATAAGGCATTAGATGGTTTGACATATAACCTGTTTTTACGAAACCGGTTAGAGAGTTGCATCGGTTTATAAAAAAATGTATTATGAATGAGATATGATTAGTTAGATGTATATCACATTAGAATAGGAATGAATAGTGCAATAATATGACGTTATTACCCTTAATAAAAATATAAAATAGTCTAGCAAACCCAATGACATAGAAAGTAAATACCACAGTACAGTTTGGACATTTTTTTAGCAATAATCCTCTTTTAATAGTTTAGATACATTCATTTTATATAATTATCTTTGTTCATGGTCTGAGATATAGTTTTTTTTTGTTCAAAAAAATCCTTTTATATAATTACCTTTTATATAAGGGAAATTCCCTCAAATGCACTTAATCTAAGTTTTTGTTCCACATATACACTAACACTCTAAAAAATTCTATCCATAACATTTTGTACCATATTAATCTTAGTTAGACAAAACATTAGTTAATAAAAAGAGAAGAAACATAATGTACAAACAAATGTATCAATGACCAAGACTGATCTGAAATTCGAATTATTTGTTTTGTTTAGGATTATTCTTCTCATTTGATTGTGATTTGTGATTGTGAATCTCTTAGATTTTTGGGGTTTTTTTATGGGAAAGTGATTTCATGATTTAAAGCTCAAAATCATATAATGATAGATAGATCTGATATAATTGGATGAAAAACTCAAGAAACCTGAGCTAAAACAGCAACAATGGTGAAGAAAAAAAAAGAAATCGGCAGAAATTAGGGTTTGGACGTCGCAGAGATGAGGAAAGAGATGAGCGTAAATTTAGAAAGATATTCTAAAGTTTTAGGAAGACTTTCCTAAAATGTATAAATTAAAAAAGTCATTACATGTATTTAGGAATGCCTTCATAAATCGTATAATTGATTATTATTTTGGTTAATTTATACAATTCAAATTCAAGAAACCTTTACACAATTCAGGAAACTCTTCCAAAATTCAGAAAGCCCTTCCACAATTCAGAAAATTTTAGAAATTTAGGAAAACTTTCCTAAACCATATGAAACGATGTTAAAGTCTAGTATTCGGAAGACCTTCCTAAAAGAATCACGAAATATTAACATGAAAAAAACACTTTTAGGAAGCCTTTCCTAAAGGGTAAAATTGGAAAACTCAAATAAAAAATGTTAGGGATGAAAAATTTTAGCTTCCTTGTTATATTTGTCTTGAACACTTATTTTCAGTGTAATATGGAAATTGTCATTTATATAATTACCTTTCTGAAATATAGTATATATATATAAAAACCTTGTGTTGAAGTTTTAGCCTATATTTTGTTATTGTCTTTTTAAAATGATCTAATAAATTTCTTTTGCAAGCGATGATTAGTGGTTGATTTTGAAAGAACAAACTGAGACGTCGTTAAATAGCGTGTTTAATTATTTAATTATTTCTGCATTTTGATTATTAAAAACTATAATCTCATAAAAATAAGTAAATAACAATTGTAATCAGAGTCAAATTCAAAAAATTTGGACACAGAGGAGTGGGTGTATACTATGCATGTTCGTTATAGAAAGAGTTCTCAATATGATCTCGTGATTAATTATGGATGGTGGTGCCTTATGTTATGTAAGGGTGTCCATTTTAACAACACTAAAATAAGCATTTTCATTGACACTTGGTTTTTTGAATTGGAAAGTCATGCATCTTTAAAATTATAAACATGTGTTGTAATATTTCTATAAACCGGAGTTGTTAGCTAGAACTTTCAAGAAATCGGAGAAACCTGTTCCGAAAATTGTATCCGCAAGTAGTCAAGTACACACAGTGAAACACTCAAGTTTATTAAATTAGCTAAAACTATATGGGAATTACGTAAGCAAGAAATTAAGTACTTCTTTTCTTTTTCATTTGGTGTCGTTATTTTATTGTATTTTATGGCTTCAAGGTTCGATGAATGGTTAGGCATACGTTATTTTTTAGATGATCCAAGAAGTTAGAATGTAGCACTTATTTATTAAAATACTAGTATTTTATAACTTTAACCAAAAAACCTATTTTATGAATATATCTATAATCTATACATATATATACATAAATGTCATTCAGTCAATAACAGAATTTTCAAAGTAGCATCTAGCTACTACTTAGTTTATGTTATGTGCATATAGACGTTCAAAACCAACCTAACTAACAATAATATTGATTATATTCCCTTTTCACGATAACAAAGAATAGGGATAGACGGATAGTAAAGCCACATTAGTTTTGTTGTATATACAAGAAACTTCGTACGATTAGAGAAACCTTAATTTGAGTGTAAACAAGTGGAAAAAATTTCGAAATGAAAAAAAAAAAAATTGTTAAAGAAAAAGCATAACAAAGGCAAGATAATGATAGACTAAGCTCTTAGAATACAAAATATGTAACACAATAATAAACCCCATAAGAATAAAAGCAAAAAATAAATAAGAACAAGAGGAAGTAGAAGAAGTTGCATATTATGATAGATTCAAACCATTATTACTATGATCATGATGATGATGAAACATCAACATGTCGCTACCGTAACTCTCTCTATCGTCTTCGCTTCCACCATTGATATAAACGGTGGAAGATGAATTCAACGGCGTCGAGCTGCTCGAAGAAGTTCCCGGTAGCATCGATGAACTGAAATTCCACCCGGCCTTAAAATTCTCGCCATCGTTAATTTCATCGGATACAAATGCGGCGGATGGGTAGTTTCCGGTTAGAGGGACCTGGTTAATAGATTGGTCATTTGAACCGGTGTAACTAAGGAAATTTTCCAAGTATTCTCCATTGTTTTGCCACTGAACCGGTGGTGTGGAGTTGAGCAAACCGGTGAAACTGGTTTGATGGTCGTTCTGAAGCTGTTGGTTTGGTTGTTGATGTTGGTATGATTCGGTTTGGTCATCGTTGTTGAGAGAGACAGTGAGGTGATTCAACATTTCGGGATTTATACTTGAAGTAGTGAGATCAAATGGAGTACTCATCGGTTGTGACATAGATTTGAAAAGAGATGAAGTGAGAAACGAAGAGAGCTGAAGAAGATTGATTCGGGGACAATGGGTCACTGGATCAATCCCCATTCGTAAGAGTTTCTTTTTTATATGTGTGTTCCAATAATTTTTGATTTCGTTATCTGTTCTTCCTGGCAAGTGAATAGCAATGGCTGACCATCTATGCATAGAAGAGAAAAATGGAGTTAGATTTTTTTTAAAGTAAAATAAAAAGTAATTAATAATAAGTTTTGACTTGCTAAAGTATTAGCTGTCTAAAGAGTTGAAGATCGCAAGCTAAGCTTTAGACATTTGACTTTGATATAGTGTTTTATGTTCTTGTTTTTTAGCTGAATTAAAATATGCAAGTAGTATTCTTAATTTCTTAAATATACAATATAAAGGTATGGTTATGGAAGTCCAACGAAGTAGGTGTAGTAGTGGAAAACTAGGTCACTCGATTTAATTTTATACATACAGAAAAAAAACAGTTACCAATTATATATAAACTAAACTGAAAAGTAAAGAAAAATTGGAAAAAAAAAACTAACTTGTTTCCAAGAAGGCGATGAAGTTGAATGATAGTCTCTTCTTCTTGAAGAGAGAACTCTCCTCTCTTGATATCGGGTCTTAGATAGTTTGTCCACCGTAATCGACAACTCTTCCCGCATCTTTTCAACCCTTTTCAATATTCACACCAAGAAAACGAAATTAATTAGAAACACTATTGTTTCAAATGTAAACACTAACGTTGATATATACATGATATAACATACTAATCATTATCACAAGTAAATTTTAAACAATTAAAAGAACACAAGAAAATTATATGCGCTTGCATGATACAAAATTGTAATCAATATTCGTACATTTTGAATAGATGTTTTTTAAAAGGCGAGCATATAAAAATGAGCTATGGTTTGTTCGTATGTGTATATATTCATGTATTGCTGTAGGAACTTACCGGCGTTCTTGGGAAGGGTTCGCCATTTTCCGGGACCGTGGATCTGTATATAGCTGACAAGCTTCTCGTCTTCCTCTGGAGTCCATGGCCCTTTCTTCACTTCACTTTCCTCCGAGCTTGATGACTTTCCCATCTCTTTTCAATTGTTATTTGTTGAGAAAACTAAAAAGAGAGATAAAAGAGCTAATAGCTTTGAGAACTTGATTACGGAGAAAATGTATACAGAAATATATATATATATATATATATGTGGTATATATACACAAAGTCAAGTCAAGGAGATTCGGTACCGTCCTTCCATCATCTATCCAAATACGTGTCTTTTCTTGATGATATACCGAGAAAAAAAAGAAGCAGAAAAACAACAGCTTACTATGTTGACAAAAAAACAAAAGGGCGTATTTATTTGAAGTAAAAAGACTTATGCGTATTTAAGACATTTAAAAGGAACTCGGCAACTTTCTAAAGATAATTTGTTAAGAATGCAGAAACATCTTGAAAAAATTTGTTTCTTGAAAAAATGATTGTCAATTACTATCGCTGAACAGTTTTTTTTTTTTGTATCGTAGTGGTTGCATTCTCATCAGAATTTCGATTCTTGATAAATAAATCAAAGATTTTCTGCAAATTTGTTATTTTTTTACTCATATATTTTTTCATTTTAAAGTTAACTAATAAAAAGCATTGAGACTAAAACATCTATATTAAATTATTAACCCTAACATATTAATTGTGATAGAGCGAGAACATGTGGCAAAATCTTAGCGGTGTATGAGGACGTGTGATAGATAAAGGAAGAAGGTTCTATTTGTTTTGGTCCCTTTGTCTCAAATCATCAAACAGTTTGCAGGATAGCTCTATTTTTATTTATTTATTATTACTATGATTATTAAACGCAATATCGCTCTGTTGCGTGCATGTTTAATGTTTACTTATCAGTCATAGACATCACTATATAATTAATTAAATTTACGTAATACCAATATACATATGAATATATAGATATAATAAGAGATGAAAAATGAAATATTGTAAAGTAAGGCCCAATTACATTTATTATATATATATTATTTTTAGTCTAACCATCATAATGTTGTATAACATTATATAAAGAGCGATTAACAAAAAGTTCAAAAACATCATAATGTTGTATAACATTATATAAAAGAGCGATTAACCAAAAGTTTTTTTAAAAAGAATCATTAAAAAATGTAAGTAAGAAGAAAAATAATTAATAAAAACTAAATGGAACTCACATTTATCGATTTAAATTGAAACTCTTGTGTCATTACAATTTAGTAGGGAGCTAGATCGTGCTGCTAAACCCGACTAAGATAGTTGAAATTTAGTTTGAATTTTCCATGTGACCAGAATTCGATCTGCTTTTTTTTTCTAACGGCTTATGAATTAAAAACGGTAATGTGAATCTTATAAAAACATACATATACAAAAATCTATCCAAATTTTATTTCTTCAAAATGGTGTTGTTTATTATCATAATTTCTTAAGCCGAAAAAAGATTTTTTTATTTATGACTATTTATAAAACATCATAACTGATAATCGAAGACAATTTATTTTTGTTTACCAAGTTAGGTAAATTGACGACAAAGCGTCGTCGCAGTGCAACATACGTAAAGAACAAGCAATATTACTGGTCAAAATACACGTGTAACAAAATGACTGTAGTATCATATATATACATGTGTCTGAAAGTGAGTGAGTGCTAACTTGCTGAAACAGTAATACCGCCGGGGTATCAATGGATAATTTGGATTGAAGAGAGTTCGCTTGGCCGATTTCAGTATTTTTATTAATATTTTTGAAATTATTACTGTTTTAGTTAAATAGTCATTTGTGATTTAGTATACAAGCTACAAATGATTTCAACAAGTTATACTTTCTTTTCTTGGTTTTTTTATTGCGTCGAAGTTAATGAATTTGTTAAACGAAATGTTACAGTGATGAAAAAAATAACTTATCCAATTTGTAATGATTCAGACTCGACTTATTTGAATAAGTTTAATTGAATTGATTTGATTATCTATGTTAAAAACTGTATTTATCTTTTCGGTTAGTGGGTCTGAGAAAACTCTAGAGTTAAGCGTGTTTGAGTTGGAGCAGGACTAGGATGAATGATTTTTTGGGAAGTGGTTCTCGAATCTGTGTAAGTAAGACAAAACACGGAAAAATACCATGTCGTGATTGCAGGGTCAGTAAATAAGTCGGTTGGGTTCCAGAAAAAATAAGACACCGACTGTCGGACAAGGGTGGGGCCCACGAGCCTGACAAAGGGATGAATGACACGCCAGTAGGAGCAGTCGGGGGTGTCAAACTGTTATCAGAGCCTGGGAAGTCAAACTGGTTCTGTCCCAGGAGACTGTCTTGGGAATTGGAGGTTTAAGTTATGTATTTATATGTTTTAATCTGAATAAACAATATATATCTTTCATTTAAAAAAAACAAAAAATTGTAATTTGCTATCAAATTTGTTTAACTAACTAACTAAAAATGTATATATAAAAATAAAACAATACATTTTTAAGTACCTTCATGCTAATGGCATATATAATCTATTTTCTCCACTAAATTGCCAATTGATCCTCCTTTATAATTATGTAAAGCAAAATACCACTTTAAAAAAAATAATTAATTAATATGATTATTTTGAATTATATAATTAATTTATTTATCAAATATTTATTATAAATATATGTTTCTAAAACTACCAAAATAAAATCAATAACATTCAAATCAAAACCATTGTTATTGCTTTAGAACTAAATAAAAAAATATGATTGAACTATAGAAATATCAATTTAGCAAAAGTTAAATAGTTTAATTTTGGTTACTGTAAACATATGGTAACTTGAAATTTTACCACCAAGAAATTTTTTTTTCTTACAAAAACTGAAAAATCGAATTTCCCGTTAAAGAAAAAAAAAACTATTTTCCTAATAAAACTGAGAAATTGCCTATTATCGCTGAAACCCAAAAATTCCATCTTTCCACTAAAACGAAGAAATTGCATTTTTCAACAAAAACCAAGAAATCACATTTTCTCGCGAGAACCAGTGTTTCCACCAAAATCAAGAAATCACGTTCTCACACCAAAGCCAAAATATTTCATGTTCCTGCAAAAACCAAAAAATATTTTCCCATCAAAACCAAAAAAATCATTTTCTCGTAAAAATTGAGAATTCGCCTATTCCCGCCAAAACCAAGAAATTTATTTTTTCGTCAAACAAAAATTCATGTTTTCCCAGCAAAACCGAGAAATTATATTTTATCTTGCGAGAAATTGCGTTTTCCCGCGAAAACTAAAAAATTATATTATCAAAATCGCATTATCCGTCAAAAATGAAAATTTGCATTTTTCATCAAAACTGAGAATATTGATTATTCCCACCAAAATCGAGAAATTTATTTTCTCTTCTAATCGATAAATAATATTTTCCACCAAAATTGTCAAATTGTATTTTCTCACGAAAACTAAGAAATCGCATTATCCGTCAACTTAAAATTTGCATTTTCTATCAAAACCGAGAAATTACATTTTTTCGTCAAAATCGAAAAGTTGCATATCTCATCAAGATCGAGAAATTGTATTTTTCCGTCAAAACAAAGATATTTTGTTTTTACGTCTATTTTTTCCCCTCCCAAACCGGAAAGCACATTGTCCCGCCAAACCCGAAAAATCATATTTTCCTGCCATAACTGAAAATTTACGTTTTTCCACCAAAACTGAAAATTACATTTTTTCACCAAAACCAAAAATCTCATATTCTCGTAAAAACCATGAAATCCCCTATTCTCATCAAAATCGAGATAAATATTTTCTCGTCTAACCTAGAAATCGTGTTATTCTAACAAAACTGCAAATTGTATTTTTCTACCAAAATCGTCAAATTGCATTTTCTGTAAAAATCGTGAAATTGTAGTTTTCAGCAAAAACTAAGAAATCGCATTATCCATCAAGACAGAAAAATTGCATTGTCCACCAAAATCGAAAATTTGCATTTTCTATCAAAATCGAGATTTTTTGTTTTCCCATGGGAAATTTTGTTTTCCGTCAAAACCAAGAATATTTTTTTTTGCGCCAAAATCGGGAAATCTTATTTTCCCGTCAAAACCGAGAATTTTCATTTTCTCAAAAAATTTTGTTTTCCTGTTCAAACCATGAAATTTTGCTTTCACGTCAAACCCGAGAAACTGGGTGAAGACCGAGCCAGAAACAGAGGTGATTCCGGTGTTTCCGATGTCAATGGTGCTGAGATTCAGATTTTCACGAATGACTAGGAGGAAGCCCGAGCTGCGAAGCTGCGAAAGTGGAGACAAAGCAGCAGAATAATTGAAACCATGGGAGATGGAAAGCTCTCATGTGAGGCTTAGCGGCAGAGAATAATCGAAAAGTTATTGATTTGTTCTCGGTAACCACCAAAAGTGCGAATCTCTATGCTATCATGGTCTGAGCTTCTCCTTCTTTGCTTTGACTTTCATTTTTTGTAAACTTTGGGCTTTTTAATGATCAACAAAATAGTAAACTGATTTTATTATTGTGTTGATGATATGTATTATTATTATATTTTTATTAGTTCAAATTTTGCTAATGTATGGGCTTCTTATAACATAAGGTTTTTTGCTTTGTTGTCATGGAAGCATGGTTTATGATGTGTCTACATTTTTGTCAATTATACACGTCTGTGTCAAGCAAACATGTAGCTAAATATTTTATTTTTTTTATTTGCTATTATTTATTGTTTAGGTTTGACAAAAAAAAATTTTTGTTATTATTTATTATTTGGGCTTGTGTTTGGCAAAAAATAATACAAATATTTTTTTTATGTGCTGTTATTTATTATTTGGGCTTAAATTTGGCCAAAAAAACTAAAATTAACAATAAAAATATTTAGATTTTTAATGAATTTAAATTTAAAAATTAAAATACATAAATGACTTGTATTAATAAAATATTTTAATTGGTGATTTTTTTTGCTGAAGTGTCATGTTTATAAGGCTTAAAAAAGTTGAGGTATCATTTCTAGGAAATACACAAGGGTTATTGTTGTATTGATTTACTTTTCTTTTCAATTATCATTATAAAAATGATCTCACTAATCGTAAATGTAATTTTTAATTGAAAAAATGTTAAGTAAAATACAAATAAGATAGGGTACATGTATGAATTGTTTTTATTTTTTGTGAACGTTTTACATGCAAGAATTGTTAACCAAAATATTCTCCATCCGGGAGGTAAACTCAAACGAGTGTCAAACTGCAATTCTGATGTTACGTCACTTACGGTACAATTAATAAAGCATCTTCGTCGTCAGTAGCAAATTTTTTGTGGACATGTTGTAACGTTCATACAACCACTTTACGTAGACCTCTAGTTAGTTTCACCTTCGTTGAACGACCTATTCCGTAAATTTTGAAAAGATCTACGATTAACTATAGAAATCACCACAAAAATTTCATTCATTTGTAATGTTTTTGTAAATTTGATCGTGTTTGGAGGAATAACTAATTTGTCCAAAACTATTTAGATCCCTACCAATGAATAATGCATCATAATTAGTAAGACGACAAAAAATCCAGATAATCTGGTCAAATGTTATTATATATCTCAACTAAAATAAACACTAGTCATTATTATTGGTAGATTAAACTATATGTTACGCCTAATTTATCTACAACAATCCCAACAACCCAGTATTAAAATTTAAATATCACAATCATTTGTCTTCTTAATAAAATTAAATAATCGCTTTCATAGAAAACTTTTGATGAATGGAACGGGGACCTTATTCAAATTTATTAGTTGTCTTAAAAGTTTGCAACTATCAATTATACGAGTCTTATCACAAAATAAACTATCAATTTTGCAAGTCTTTTCATATGCCAATTCGTTAATCAGCTACCATCTTCCTTTTAGATTTCTCTAAGAAACTAAACCGGTATATCATATATCAAAACTTTCTATTTAAGATTTTCAAACTTCATTACATCATTGCTTGCATGACACGCGCTTGCATGTCCTTCTTTCTTTATTTTATTAATAATATTAATATTAAAAATATTAAAATTCTTGCTATAAGTGAAAATGACCGGAACAATAAAATAAATACGTGATTATAAAATTGCGAGTTTTTCCATCATCTTCGTATTTAGAAATCTGCATTAAATGTCTACTAGTACATAGATTATTTTTTGTATGCAGAACCGGCTTTGAAACAGTAAGGGGATATATTCAAACTGAAAACACTATAAGTTTTATACAAATCATAACAATTTCTCTAATTCATCCAAAACCATTTAAATTTTTATAAAAACTCAAATTATTTTAAATCTTTCTAAATTATAGATTGAATACACCCCTTAAATGGGAGAAACTTATCAAATTCTCTATTTCTCATCCACCATTTCGTTGTTTATAAATATAATCATCAAGTGAAGTTATTAATATCATTAGATAGAAGCCAACATTTTACTTATACTATTGGTGACCGCAAGCATGTCTATAAAGTCGGTTCTGCGTATGTGCATAAATTTTAATTTTGAACAAGTTGGAAAATTTTCATATCGATAAGCAAAAGCGAAGTTTAGATCCGAAGAAAATCACTGATCTTTTTAAACAAAATAACGATTTAATCAAATGTTATATAGATATATATCCGTCCCTCTCATTTTATACTTCAATTACCTAAACTTTGCATATCTACTTAGATTTAATTTGATTTTTGCACTAAATAAATTATAAACAAATAAAACGGACCTAACGATTAGCCAAATAAAAAATATACCTAACATATTGATCTCATGGTGTATAATATATCCACGACGCATATAACACGTACGTGAAAGTGTCCTCGCAAGCAGCTTACTTAACTAATTATTCTCTTGGATTTTTCTCATACTCAGATAGCATATTCTTATAGATTATGTTAAATTTAGAAATAGGATATTAATAATTAAGATCTAACAGCAAAAGCTTGGCTGAACTTTCTTGATTTTTAATTTCACAGCAATTTCTTGTTTAGTACTCCCTCTGTTTCAAAATAAGTGTCGTTTTAAAATTTTATTTTTGTTTCACAAAAAGTGTCGTTTTGTATTTTCAATGCAATTTTTGTAAAAAAAATTTGTTTTAACCTTTTTATATAAATGTACTAATTAAAAAGAAAATATTATTTTGTGTGTGAACAAAAAGTAAAACAGACTTTAATGATTTTCTTAATTTGTGTGAAAAAAATGTCAAAATGACACTTATTTTGAATCAGAGAGAGTAATATTTTGAAATTTAAATTTTCGAGATAAACAATACTATTAGCTAGCAATGATGGTTAGTAGCAATGATGGTTTGGTAATCTGTGAACCCTTTATTCACTCTAAAAATTCAAGTTTTTCTATGTTGATTTCAACTATATATAGTTACATACTTGTGCATGGTTTAAATGACTGGATCTTTTGAGTTTTTATAAGTCTGGAAGATTAGTCAAAAAAATTCTCCGATTTAAAAATAATGTGCAATGATGACAATAATTTAGTTACAAGTCTTGGCCAACCTGTCCCCAAGCAAAATTTTCTATTCACAAGATAATCATTTTTAATATGTAGACTATATAGAGACATCAAATCCAAAGTGAACCAGTTAATTATATGATTTTCCTTCTAGTTGTAACTTGTAAGACACAGTAGTCGTCGCATGGACTTTATGAAATTGAAAAAAATATATATAATAAGATTTACAAGGATATAAAAAGACCACATGAAGTGTATAAGGTGGAATACCAAAACACCTTTATTCAAATTCAAATCTCTATAAGAAATATCAAAATATTACAGTTACATAACAGAAGTTTCTGATTTATCATAAGTCAACACAAAGCACTGGGATAATATTGTCATGGTCAAATAAAAATAATCTTTCGAGTTTACAATTTCGCAATATGTATAACTAATATTATCGTTTTTCGTTGACAACATCTAAACTCTGAAATATCGGCCAATTTTGCCATACAAATTGAGTTCATTTTAGTATAATATCCTAAAAAAATCGAATGGGAGAAGCATAGTTAACTCTGAAAGAAAGAATCTTGCAAAGGTTAAAGAGCAAAAAAAAAAAAAAAAAAAGCAAATGCCTATAAACGAGAGTGACAAATATCCTTCTGTACACACAAATTCCAATAACAAAATATGAACGAACATACAAAAGAGCAAATTTCTTTTTCTTTTTATAAATAGATTCATAATTTTTGTTTTTTCTTTGTCAAATCTCATCAGGCAATTGAAAACTCTGCGTACCGAAAATTTGAAGAGATGTGTTCTGTAGAAAAACAGCAACTCCACATTTAGCACTGTTGAATCCATCCCACACCGTGAAATGAGCCGTACCCGACACCGTCTTCTTCGCCGTTAAATCCTTAACGGTGCATAGTTTTTCTAGCTTTCTTACAACGTAGTCGTTGGACAAGACTCTTCCCGAGTTCTCTCCCCGAGGACAATCAGTGACTAGTCCGTTCTCGTACAGCGCCACCATTATATCGATCCCGCTCGAGTCCACTTTCATCCTCAAAGCTCCTGTGAGAGATACTTGAAGGGTTTCTGAAGTTGGTCTTTGGAATGTAGCCTGGTAAGAGCAAACCAATAACAACATCACTAATCTTGATCATTACAATAGTTAAAAAGCACACACACAAGGTTAGTGTATTGAATCCTTCCTTTTTTGCTATGAATGTAAATATCATTGGAAAAATGAAAGTTTAGGTTTTACAAATTGTGATAACAAGATGCTAAACCTATGTAGATTGGTCCCATGACAAAAAAAAATGAATAAAAAACATGATTACAACAAACCTATGTGCATTGAGTCTTGTTGACCAATTGAATCTTGCTAACCAATAACAACTTCACTGATCTTGATCATAATGTAGTTAAAGGCATACACACAAAGTTAGTGTATTGAAGCTTGTTAAGTACCAATAACAACTTCACTGATCTTGATCATAATGTAGTTAAAAGCATACACACAAGGTTAGTGTATTGAATCTTGTTAACCAATCTGTTTTAGTAGCTACCAAAAAAATGTCCAATCACTAACTTTTCTATAATGCTGAGTCCAAACCTATCTCAATCACTATCTTCTCTATAATGCTGAGTCCAAGCCTATCTCAAAAGCCGTAAAAAGCAAGATGGACCACAATCAAATTCATGTTTATGGTAGAGAGAGACAAAAACCACTTGGCAATAAGAACACATTACACAGACAAAAGATGTAATGTTTTTGGACACACACATATATAGTGTTGTGTTATGCTACAAGCACTCATTGATTACCAAACCCTTAACATTCATGTGAGGATGCTCTAAACATTCAAATTGCTTCTTGTATCATCGATTCGTCAACATTATCGATTAAAGGAAATCAGAAATGTAAGAGATCACTCACCCGAAACGCCGGAGAAGGAAACCTAGGCGCATCGACGATGGACTTGAGCAGAGTCTCTTCCTCGTTTCCTAGTAATTGGACGCGACCTTGAACCACAAACTGAGGAGTAAACATCGTATCTTGATTCAACGCCTCGATGTAAGCCTTTTGCCTCACCGTCCATTGGCTCGATCCGTAAGGATCCTTCCACCCCAAGTAATCCCAATAATCAACGTGGAAAACAAGAACCATCGCCGGAGAACCAGATCCACCTTCACGACGGATCTGACCGTTGAAATCGCCACGGCCTAGGCGCGACACGAGCATCTCTGCCTCCGGCGAGGTCTTACATCCCTGAGATGAAAAGAGCTGAACCAGAACAGGTCCCTCACCGGCGGGAACATCCGCGGCGACGACGGATGCGTTATGACCGGAGATTCCTTTTCCGGTGGCGGAAGTTGAGGATCCTTTGACGCGAAAACAGGCGAAAAGACGTGGCGCCATCGTCGGAGGAAAAATACAAAAAAATTTGGCCCGTCTCTTCGCCTTCCGATTAAAATCGGCAGAAGGTTTTCTTGAGCGCCAAGAATAATAGATCTGAGGAGGGAGAAACAAATCAGAAGATTTAGAAATGTTTCCCCAAGAAAATGCGAGAATGTTCAGAGAAGCATTGAAATATCGGAGGAGGAAAGAAAACAATTTTTACAGGCTAGAGGTGATGAGACAAAGGCGGCAACAAAGTGTCTTTAGCCAAAAACATTTCTCTATTTTTTCATTTTTTCTTAAAATATGAAAATTATTCTTTTGCTGTGCCTTTGTTGGGTGGGCAAAAGCTGTAATTGTTTTGAAGTTTTTGGCCTTTGAAAGATTTGTCATTGCTTTGGAAGAAGGAAGTGTTGGGTGACACGTCGCACACGAGTCTATGACAGGTCAGCGAATCTTTCAGCTAACTTACCTTACATTACACGGTTTCACTTTCACCACTCACAGGACCGAACCGGTTGGTATAACGTCCGGTACGGTACATAACTGAACCAGCAATTCTACGATAGCCCAGTTGGACTTTCGTCCTACATATGTATAACGTTTTTAATGGGTCTAATCAATAAGATTCAGCCCAATGACAACAAATAGTGTGTAGATTTTTGAAAAATAGCATCATAAAAGTATATTTTTCAAAATCCACATTTTTCAAAACTTCGATAATATTGATCTAATTTTGTTGTTTTTCATTGATATACAACAAAATTACTCTCAAGATAATACTATACGATTTTAAAATGAAAATAACATAGTTGATAGATATAATAAAAATAGCATCACTTAATAATCGAAATCGTCAGGATTAGGTTTAGGAGAGGTTAAGATTGCTGTGTAGAGCCTCAATTTATCTTCTCCTAATGATGCACATCTCGACAATGGTCTCCTCGGCCTTATGAACGACAGTGACGTCAACGTTAACCTGTGCTTGTACCTAAACAAAAACATAAACAACAAAAGTTTTGAATTTGTAGTTTTCTTTTTTATTCGCTTTAAATAACAACTTATACTTGTTTTGCTACACAAAATCCTAAAGTTAAAAAAGCATCATTACTTGTGATACTTTTGGATTTTGTTTTTATAAAGTTTCTGTATAAATATATTTAGAAAAACATTCATTTTTGATTAATGCAAATGATTTCAACATTCAAAAGGGTGATTCAAGAAATGAGACGTACCTCCTCCAAGCGAGCTGAACCGCAACCGCGGCCCAAGTTCGCCACCCAGGAGAATAATAGCGGGCACTGCGTTTGACTTTTTCGTTGACAAAAGTGTAGCGGAAATGTTGAGTCACGTACTTAACGTCTTCGGCGTCTAGTCCAAACGCTTCGGTGGTCTCGAGCGTTACGAGCGTTGAGGAAGACGGCGGTAGCCTCTCCACGAAGGGTCGTCGAAGACACCACGAGAGAAGCTCGTCACCGCTAAAATTGCCCGGACCTAACATGCAACAGCTTTTAACGCCGTCTCTTAGCAACTGACTACTCTGAAGATGGCCTCTCACTACGAACAACATTCTCTGCACTGCATCTCCTTCTTTCTGGATCTGTATGCATTTTCGAACATTTTTACTTTGTGTGCGTCGTTGAGAGATTTCTTGGATCCCACGGTATCAAACAGTTAAATTGCTTGATGGTTTGGAAACCGGTTACGATTTATACAAATGAAAGGCAAAAAAATGAAATAAATTGGCTTAAAGATACTTACGGTTTCTCCTTTGGTGAAAATGAGAGATTTCACACGGTCGCATATATTCTCAAGCACCAAATCATCCATATGCTGAAACAATGGAACCTGAAAAAAAAATGCAGATACTCGTCCACATCAATGATCATTAATTATTAACTAATTCCAACTTTATATTATTTTATTTTTTTCTCTTCAGTGACTAATTGTAATGATCAGTCTGACCTGTCGGACTAAGTCTAAACAAAGATGGTACTTGATGTCTCTCCTAAGACCTTCTGGAAGATTCTTAACCATCTCACACTCGTCTACACCGCGCATAGCGGCCCATCTCTGCCGCTCGTAGTTGCGGACTCGTTGCTTAAACCCTAATGGCAAATGTCTCTTCTTCATCCACCACTCTATGTTCCTCATCTTCAGGTGCATTGCTTGCTTCTTTGAGGTTGTTGCGTGCAGAAACACCTTCATTTTTTAAATTAGAAACAGATTATAACTCCTTAACGTATCATATACTTATTATTAGTTAAATTATGAGAAAAGAAGCCAATATAGTTAGTTACCTTGATGTTACCGATCAACATGGTAACGAGAAGAAGACCACTTGTTAGAACTATTATGTTGAAGACAACCTCCGACCACTCTGTTGTGCTCTCCAAATTCCCAAATGTGCTGATTAATTATATAGATTAAAAAAATCAATTAAACCCTCTTGTATACATAAGAATGTGTATATTTTTTACGACGAGTTAACTCAAAATCCACACAAATCAAATTGACAGTTTAATAATTAAGCCGGTTATGATGTGAAATACCTGAGTGTCATAAGACCCCAAAAGATTGGGAAAAGAATTTTCTCCAACCGGCTTTCATTGCTCACGAGTTGAATGGTCCACTGATAAGCACCATATGTGTAGTTTGTGTCGATATCTAAGCAAATAGATCGGGCATCATGGTTTTGTGCCCAAGCCAGTCTAGCTCTGTCAAGGACCATCTCGGTGGTGCCATAGTACACTGGTTCCTTACATGACAACATCCTTAGGTTGCATCCCATCGTGTTTTCACATTGTTCTTTTAGACATTTCGATGATCTTTGGACTCCCAACAAGTACCAACATGCTCCTGCTGCCTGTGGTTTATTAACTTATATGTGAGAGATTGTGATCGTAAATAGTAACCTCAAATTTGGTAGATTAGTAGATTATTACAAAGTTCGATTCATAGTTGATAATGACTTATTTGGAAGATCTAAGAAACTTCCGTAGCATATTAAAGTTGATGAGTTGAAGGACAATAAAAGTGAAATAGTATATATTTTAAAAAATAAGATAATGATTGCATAATTAGCTATTCTAACCTAGACCTCCTTAATGAATCATACGTAAAACCGATCGATGCAAGTTGTGTTTAATTTCATTAAAGAATTTGAGAGCGACTTGTGTGATTGAGAGAATCATACCTTCCTCCTAACAAATCTTTTCTTTTTTTTGGCATTTTCTGATATATTTTACTTTCAAAAAGAAGACTCCCACAGCAATGGAAAAGGTCCATGTGAAACTATTTTAGGTACGATATAAAATATAATTATTTAGCACCTGAAACCCACTACTTTTTCCATAGATTAGTATCTTTTTGTTAATATACACTTTAAAATGTGTCATATGTATGGTAACTGATTACGTATTCAACACAAATCAAAGCATATAACTAGTTAGGCTTTTTAACAATTGCTCAAGCCGATGAGAGTTTCACATAGACTATCATAATCTCCAACCAACTAAGCTTAAACTAATTAAATTTTGTATCTGAATATCATTGAATAATTAGATTCCCAATGAAATATTTACTTTTATATGCAAGCAAGAATAAGCAATTTATCAAAAAAACTTACATGAGCCGCGACGAAATAAGCGATCATGTTGAGTGCAATTCCCCACCAGACAGTGCCAAAGATGTAACCGGAGAGAGTAGCATTTTGTCGGAGATGACGAACGGAATGATATATTCTCGGTAGATATTGGAAGAGGAATGTTATAAGTAAAACTGACACCACTAAAGTCACGGAGCCTCTCTTTAGAAGAGAAGGTATCACAACCCACAACACCACCTGCTCTCATATTTTTTTAATAATTAGTGATTCATTATTTTAATAAGCAAAAAACAAAAATGTACCATACGAAAAGAAAATTGAAAACAAATATGTATTATGTCATGTGGTCCACACACGAACATGATTAGGTCAGGCTAAGTGAGAGTTATTTCAGACCATATAATTATTTGGATGTAAGATTTTTTCCTAGATTAGTCAATTTTAGTTCAGTACTAGATTTGATTAACGATGATTATGCCTTCCAATGTTAGTAATTGTCCCTATTATTAACTTACAAGAAATCTCCCCCCTTAGTGTATGTTGAAGTATTATTTAATGTGAGTCACTATATGTAAGACAAAGTATAGTTAACTTTCCTGCGATTAAACGTGTCACGTGTGCATATGAAATTGAACATCTGCCCCTATATATATATATATAATGAACATATTTCATCACAACTACTTGACTTATAATTAACCAGTGTATATATATTAAGTAATTGCATACTAAAATAATGGCATATACGCAAATAGCATCCTGCAGAAACTATATATGATCGTCTAAAGCTTAACATGGTTCTGCGCACGATTTCTTAATATTTTTTTGGTGATTTTTTGAATTTTTCTCAATGGATTGTTCTGTAGTTTAGGAAAAAAAAAGGATAGAAAACTCACAAGATTTCTTGTATAAAAAAAAATTTCACTTCATTTCGACGTTAATTACATCTAATAATTTTCGTTTTGTTTGTTAAAATACATCTAATAAAAAAAGTTAACCAGTGGTTCTTATAAATAAGAAAAATAAAAATATATATTGGTTTACTAACCTGAGGTAATGGTAAGATGACAAAGAGATCAAAGAAGAACCGTTTCATCTTAACGTAAGGTGGAGCAACTCTCGTACGCACACGTGCCCCATCTCCTTTATTAATATCGCCGTCGTTATCTCCGCCGGGATAAGGCCACCGGCGAGCAATCTTGAACTGAAGCCAAATGTTCCATAAGTGCAAAAGATCGGTCATGGAGCGTAAGGCGGTGACGGTGAGAGCGAGCCAACCATCGATGAGGAGACACATACACGTATCGTTCACCGAGAGTGTGTAGAGAAAAAGCGGGTCCACGAAGAGCCCCGTCGCGCACACAAGGAGAAAGACTCTGTTCCATTCTTGAACCAATTTGGATCTCGGGTCAAGTATTCGACCCAACATCATCCATTTGTTGTAATTACCCGATGACCCGTTTCTTCTTCCTTTGCACGTGACCCCCACACGTGGCACTTCTTCTTCTTCTTCTTCTTCTTCCTCCTCCTCTTCCTCAATCTCCTCCATGTCTTCTTCTTCGTCCTCTTCCTCATCCGTGTAATCTTCGTCTGAGTAATATCCTACGCTGCTTGAGGCGCGTGAGTCACGTGAGGCGCGAGGTACGTGAGAGAAATCTTGCTCTGTGGCCATGGGAAGTAGTGCATGCAACAGAGAGAGAAAGAGATGAACAGCTCTATGTGAATCTCTGCAATGGAAAGAGGATTTGGAGAGAAACGTGGTCTTAGAAAAAGAATATTCTAAAATACTAGAGAAGAGATGACAGAGTGTTTCGCAAATTACTGTTATACCCCATGTGATGATTTTTGTTGTTTCTTGTACATTTAAGGGAATGATGTTATTTATGGGTTATATATACGTATTTATTACATATTTGCATCAATAGGAAATAAGTGGTTTAATAGGCTGCAACAAAAATATAACTTTTCTGTACGTAGTTAGTTAGTAACCAGCAATTATAGACAGAAATATGACAATCATATATATCAAACATGGAAAATTAGGAATCGAAAGAGGTAGACGAAAGACAAAAGACAGGTTGTAATCTTTCAAAATACAAGTAAAGCCTAGAAGTCGGTCACTGTTGATAAAGTTTACACACATTTTAAACACCTAAAATGGAAAATGAAGGCTAAATTGAGCTGGAGTGGTGCAAAAGCTTCATTGAAACGTTTGAAGAAAATAAACTCTTTCTAAAAAAACTAATGTTTTGTTACTTTTATTTTTCCTATATGATACTGAAACACTGTCTCTTTGATTATTTCCTTATCTTTTCCAGAGGTTTTTGTACTATACTCTAGATGCATACAAACATGTAGATGGTGACTATATACCCTTGTCGATTCAATAATTTAACATAATTATTGATCCCGTTAATTAGTAAGAAATGGAATATATACATATATACAGTTGAACAAACATAAATCTAGAAATTGTAGTAATCATGATTAGAATTTCACAATAGTTATTAATTGAAGAATAGAGCACTTTATAGTACATGTGTGCACATATATGAAACGAGCGGTTTTAACAGTGGACAACAACACTGCTAGACAAAAAGTAAAATAAAACACTTGTTGCTCAATTTGAGGCAATTCATAAAGACGACGTACAAATTGACTACCTTTGAATTAATGTGACTAAAATGAAGAAAAAAAACAAACGAGAGAAAGCGTGAAATGTGTTTTGTTAGAGAGAAGAGATCTAGTAAAACTAAATATGTTATATTTGAAAGTATTCGATCGACTCGTATCAGTTTCTTTTGTAATATAGTTTCTCAACTTACAATATATAGACGCATAAACGCTTCATAAGCATTCACAATTATTTGTTAGGAGATGCAGAGAAACAGATAAAACGTTTGTTTGTTATTATATAGGAATTTACCAAAAAATAAAAATAAAAATAGGAATTCATATCTTTTGTACGTTAATATGTTACATATTCGTCATACTCATTTCAAATACTATAAAACAAAGTTCTACAATATAATTCTTATAGTGGATAGCCAATATAAATATAACAAATGTATCTCTAAAAATTTCGCTCTAAGAGCACCTCCATCAATGACTATATAAATAGTTTTTTAAGAGTTTTTTAAAGTAAAAAAAAAGAAAATAAACAATTAATAAGTAAAAAAAATAAGAGGTATTTGATAATTAACAACTTTCAAAACTGTTAAGAGACGATAACATGTCAATCCCTAACTTGATAGGTTAATTTTAACAAAAACCAACAACAACAAAAAAGGAGATAACACATATTTTTAAAAAGGAGATAACACATATTCTTAAAAATGAATTTATTTTCAGCACATAAAATCAATTATAATAAGAAAAAAAGTGGAAGATAGGAGATATGTGTTTGGCTAGAGAGTCACATGAAATGTCCATTTTTGTTGGGTTGTTAAGTATTTTTTGTATTTGAGGCTCTTGGTTCACTAGATTCCAACATATTCATTTGTCATTTCTTAGAATATGTAAATCTCTTTGCATATGGCAATTCTAACTATCACTCTCTAAACGTATCCCCACCTCAAATCCTCTTCTCGCTCTTATCTCTCTTTCACTATATATTAAATTCTTTTTAGACCGTTGCTCTCTATATATTCGCTGTTATTCACAAATTTTTATTATTATTTTCAAATGAACATTTGACATGTATTCTCTTTGCCATATCTTTGTTCCTTGAATTATTGCAATCGTCCTATATTTTTGTTTTTTGGTGGCACAGTTGGAAGTAAAACGACACGAAACAGTTACGCTGCCTTAATGGGTCGAACGTACTAAAGCCCATTTTGAAAGTTGCACGTAGCCTGTATGGCCCATTTTCATGGTTAGAAGAACTTTCAGGCCTTTTTGGGCTAACAAGTAACTACTAAAATAGTTTGGGGTTTTTAGGCTAATTAGTCATTTTTAAGGACGATATATGTAATACACTATACTTATGTATGCCTTTACTACGAACATTCGTCTCCCTAATTTAGTCAGTCTCTTTCGCTCGCCTCTGGCTTTGAAATTCCCCGCGCCAGCTATTTCGATTCTTAATCTCGCTTCGATTTTCGTCGGAATCACTGTTTCCGGTCACCGGAGCTCCGTCGCTTGACTTTTTAATCTTTTTGAAGATCAGGTTAGGGTTCTATTTCCACACTGTTGCTGAGAAAGTGCGTCAAGTATAGAAAAATTAAGAAATTTCTGGAAACAGTCCAAGGTGATTAAACTGGTTAATGGCTCTCGGGTTTCTGTTAATTGATAGCGAGAGAAGCTTCATTTTTTAGTATGATTGTTTTCTCTCTAGCCCATTTTCAAGTACATTGTAGCTTTTCAATTTCCTAGTGATTTTTGCAATTTTTTTTCTTAGTTTCGTTTGTCTTTGTTTGCATAGAAATTCATATTGTTGGAGTTATCAGTGTTGTTTTTTTTGGTGAACTAAATGACGACTGGCTTATCGAGGGTTTATCAAATTCACCACTTCTTTAGGGTTTTGATAAGTACGTTTGTTGAATCACCACAAAAAGGAGTCACAATTTTGTGCTATGTTTGCTTGATTCTTCATTAAGAGCTTGTTGGAATCTAGTTTTAATTCTTAATACAAGTTTTTGTTTTGGTCTTTTCCAGGTTTACTGAGAGCTGCAAGCACTTGCCATCATGTCTAGGTGTGCTTTTTTGGCTTTGCTGCAATTTAATGGACAGTGAATATACACACACTCATCGCTGAGTGTTGGCATCTCTGCAATTGTTGTTAAATTTTGTTTTCAAGAACTGAGTGTGTCACTATATGCTTGTGAAAACTTGGCAGGGAGGATTTGAGTGATACACTTCGAATACTTGTTGCTACTGATTGCCACTTGGGCTATATGGAGAAGGATGAAATAAGGCGGCATGATTCTTTCAAGGCTTTTGAAGAGATATGTTCTATAGCGGAGGAGAAACAGGTTTGATATTGAGTTTTTTTTCTGTTTCCAGTATTGTCCTGAGTTTGAAGAACCATCTAGTTAATTTAATTGGGACGAAGGAGTCTCAGAAACTTTCATCATTTCTTCTTTTTTTTGCACTCTCTTGAAACAGGTGGACTTCTTACTCCTTGGAGGTGATCTTTTTCATGAGAATAAACCCTCTAGAACTACGCTAGTCAAAGCCATTGAAATTCTTCGTCGCCACTGCCTTAATGATAAACCAGTGCAGTTTCAAGTTGTCAGCGACCAGACTGTAAATTTTCAAAATGCGTGAGACTCTGCTCTTCTGCTATTTAATCTAATCGTATCAGAAAACATTATGAACTGAGCTATTCTATTGGCACATTGCGTTTTTGTACACTTTGTCTTGTCAAGGTATGGATTCATCTTTCATTCCTTGTTATTATTTTCTGGCTACAGGTTTGGTCATGTAAATTACGAGGATCCACACTTCAACGTAGGCCTGCCCGTGTTCAGTATCCATGGAAACCATGATGATCCAGCCGGAGTGGTACATAATGCTCTTGTTAAAGCAAACTCATTTGAATGTATGTGGAACTGGATTAGTTCGTGAATTTGGATGTCTTCCTTCGTCAACAGGACAACCTTTCTGCAATTGATATTCTTTCTGCATGCAACCTCGTGAATTATTTTGGAAAGATGGTTCTTGGTGGTTCAGGTGTTGGCCAGATTTCTCTCTACCCTATACTTATGAAGAAGGTCGGTGCAAATGATTTGCAATTCTGGACACTTGGCTTCTCCCTGGTTTCTTGGACTAACATGTAATCACATTGATATTCAGGGTTCAACAACCGTGGCTCTCTATGGTTTAGGAAACATCAGGGATGAACGTCTCAATAGAATGTTTCAGGTATTCCAGAAGATCTCCATTTTTTTGTTATACAAATGTTATTGTGTTAATATTGATTGGTTCCACAGACCCCACATGCTGTCCAATGGATGAGGCCTGAAGTTCAAGAAGGATCTGACGTTTCTGACTGGTTCAACATTCTGGTGCTACATCAAAATAGGTTAATTCCATTACAATACTATATTTTGAGATGGTTTTCTTATTCTATCCATATCAGAAACTAGTACTTATACTATGACTTGCAGGGTGAAATCAAACCCCAAAAATGCAATAAGTGAGCACTTTCTTCCACGGTTCCTCGACTTCATTGTGTGGGGACATGAGCATGAATGCCTTATCGACCCCCAGGTCCATTGAAATTTTGGTTTTTTGGAGTTATTGCATTTAAATAAGAATGAGACATGATGTTCCTTGCCTCTCTGTGCTAAAAGCGTTTAAATTTTTAAAGGAGGTATCTGGAATGGGCTTCCACATCACACAACCAGGATCTTCCGTGGCAACATCACTGATCGATGGGGAATCAAAGCCAAAGCATGTTCTTCTCTTAGAAATCAAGGTTCTTCCGTAAACAATCTGAAACTTCATCTTCACTTTGATCGTACTGCTTAATCTACTTGCTTCAAGTATGGTTTTTTTGCTATTTTTGTAATCAAGCATGTAAGCCTGAGTAACTTGAAATATATGACAAACAGGGAAATCAATATCGTCCTACGAAGATACCTTTGACATCTGTGAGGCCTTTTGAGTATACAGAGGTAAAATTTATTTTCCCTATATGTTACTTATGGCGGTGGCGGACTTCTTTGCTTACATATTTTCAAAGTGCAGATTGTTTTAAAGGATGAAGGTGATATTGATCCCAATGATCAAAACTCAATTCTCGAACACTTGGATAAAGTGGTAACCATTCCCTTTTCTCATAGTTCATGTGGATATATTGTTCTCCTGTTCCCCCTTTCTGATTAGGCTTAGCAAGTCACTAAATGCCTCTAATAATATCTACAAAATTGCTAGGTCAGAGATCTAATAGAGAAAGCCAGCAAAAAAGCTGTTAACAGATCAGATATCAAGCTCCCATTGGTTCGAATCAAGGTAATTTGTTTTCATGTTTCCTTCACATTGCTGCAAGCTTCTAGTAACACCTATATAACAAAAACTTGTATTTTCCAACACAAGTAGAGGCTAGGCTTTGGCAGTTAGATGCACGCACACCTATAGCCACAAAAGCATGTTTGCATTTGAGAATATTAGATGACCAAAGAAAGACTGAGAGATCTGGTTCAATCTTTCAGGTAGATTACTCTGGATTTATGACGATAAATCCTCAAAGGTTCGGACAGAAATATGTGGGAAAGGTACCATGATGTTAGTTACTGTGACATGATGTTCACCGTTCTCTCTTGAATGCTGGGTAACCTATGACAAATTCTCAAACACTTTCAGGTTGCAAATCCTCAGGACATTTTAATATTCTCAAAGGCTTCTAAGAAGGGTCGGAGCGACGGTAGGGGCATTTGAGTAGCACAGTTGGACCACGTTGTTGCTTTCTTGTCTATTGTGATTTAGTTATCATATATATTCGATCTTCTATTTCACAGCCAACATCGATGATTCTGAGCGGCTTCGTCCAGAAGAACTGAACCAGCAAAATATAGAAGCTTTAGTAGCTGAAAGCAACTTGGTACGTCCTGCAACTTTTTTCTCCTTATGACTGTGTTACTATCTTCATCCCCTGTAGACTTTCACCACAGAATGATATAGACTTGAATAGGTTACCTAATGGGCTTGAAAACACTATGGTGATCACTCTGTCCTCTTGTGTGCAGAAAATGGAGATCCTTCCAGTTAACGATCTGGATGTTGCTCTTCACAATTTTGTGAACAAGGATGATAAACTAGCTTTCTACTCATGCGTTCAGTACAATCTTCAAGAGACTCGTGTATGTGCTTTTTAATTCCTTCAGCATTCAATACTAAGTTCTGCGTATGATATTATTGTTTTTATGATCATTTTCTTCCCGTTTTTGCAGGGTAAGCTTGCAAAGGATTCAGATGCCGAGAAATTTGAGGAGGACGACTTGATTCTTAAAGTTGGAGAGTGCTTAGAGGCAAGAAGAATCAAATTCAGTTACTTTCTGTTGCAGAATGTGGGGAGGAATACAATATCGATCTGAGTTTCATTATTGTTTGTGCAGGAACGCTTGAAAGATAGGTCCACTCGACCCAGTGGTTCCTCACAGTTTTTATCCACTGGATTGACATCAGAGGTTTATATTCTCCTTGTTAAAATTTCCTTGCAGTTTCTGATTTTACATTCACCTCTATCCTGCTTTCTTACAATGCTGTTTTCTACTTGGGATTGGTACAGAATTTGACGAAAAGAAGCAGTGGCATCGCGAGTGCTTCGTTCAGTGATGATGAAGACACGACTCAGATATCTGGCTCAGTGCCTGCCACTAGAGGACGGAGGGGTTCATCCACTGCTAATACATCTCGTGGTAGAGCTAAGGCCCCAGCCAGAGGAAGAGGCCGTGGTAGGGCCTCAAGTGCGATGAAGCAAACCACTCTTGATGGTTCTCTTGGTTTTCGCCAGTCTCAAAGGTAATTTTTTTTTTTTGTCATCACGTTTAACCACTTTAAGGTAGGATTCAGTGACGTGGAAGGCATTAATTGACATCACTAGCTAGCTAATGTTATGTCCTTGATTTGTCTTTCATTAGATCCGCTTCAGCTGCTGCTTCAGCTTCCTTCAAAAGTGCTTCCACCATTGAAGAAGCTGATGTAGATTCTCCTTCAAGCGAAGAAGCAGAGCCTGAAGATCTTAACAAAATGGACAGCAGTTCGGTATGGACTCTTCCTTACACCGCTTATTCGTTTGTCATTTGGAGTAAACATGCATTTTACTTATCATGATTCTTGTTTTATATCCAATTGAAGGAGGAAGATGAGAACACTAGAGGCAAAGGACGTAAAAGACCAGCTACTACTAAGAGAGGCAGAGGTAGAGGTTCTGGGACTTCAAAACGTGGTAGAAAAAACGAAAGCTCTTCTTCACTTCATAGGATGCTCAGTAACAAAGACGATGACGAGGACGAAGATGACGAAGACATTGAAAAGAAGCTAAACAGATCTCAACCTCGGGTTTGTTTATCACATCTATTTAACTTTCTCTTATCGACCATATGTTATATGCTCACTTAATAGTATTGATTTGTAAATGCAGGTTACAAGGAACTATGGAGCTCTAAGAAGATAAAAATCCATATCAACCCTGAGCTATGACCTCAAGCTTCATCTCTCTTTTTTTCTTTTTCCTTTTCTAGCGACCTCTCAAGGGAGATAACACTGTAGAAGAGAAGCCAATACTAAAACGGGTGTTGTGAGATGTACAGAGAATTTTGTAGTGTACTTTTTTTCTTGCTCTTTAAGGTTTTGTTATTGATGAATGAGGAAATTAATCAGTTATATTGGCGAAACTTGAATGGTTAACGTCAGTAGTAATATAAAACATTGTTAGTATATATCAAAGACTAACAGAAAAACAACAAACGAGGATAGCTCAGTTGGGAGAGCGTCAAACTGAAGATCTGAAGGTCGTGTGTTTGATCTACGCTCACCATATATTTTTATTTTTTTATTATAAATTGTTTATGTATTTTGAAAAGTAATATTTTTATGAGAATATTACATAATAGAACACTTATAGGAATTATAATTACAGAAAAAGTACTTCTCTCAACTGGAGTACTTTCCTTTAATTCTCCTTTGATTTTCGTTACGCGATTTCTCCAAATTACTTTCAACCATTATTTTTCATCTCAATCGTTAAAATCATTTTTTTACTTGCTTCAGTGACGAATAATTTTACAAACCATCGACCTCATCCTATCTAGATGATGTCGTCAACCTCCTTCTTCGACGATGGACACACACTCATTCATCTTCGAGATCTAGCTCACATTCCATCCCATCTAATTTTTTTCACCCGATAAGACATATCTCTTTGCTTGTACGTGTATGATTTGGTACTTCACCATAGATTGCCGTCGATGGCATTCGCCTGATATATAATCCCATCGTAACCCAATTTTACAGAGGCAACTGCAGGGGTATACCAGCGGAGGTCTACAAAGCTTGCAATCATGGATAACACGCAATGTACGACAAGACATGGATGACCCAATACGGTACCAAATCATCCCTCGCAAAGATGGCACATATTGGATGAAAACGTATGGATGCTTAAAAATAGATGACTCAATTTGAATGATGTACTACTATGAACATAACTCTATGGATATAAAACAATGGATGCCACTTCGTGAACGATACGGTATGGACGACAACACTTCAACATATAACGAGGAATGCAAAATGATGTATGCTGTCAAAAAAACTAGAATATAAAATCAATCAAGTAGTTTACCTCAACGACAACACCCTTCCCACCTTTCATCATCCTTATAATAAAGCACACTAGTACTCCGTCTCCTCACCGTGTATATTTCAGATTCCGTTTTTCGTCAACTATAGTTATCCATCAATTGCTCAAAGTCCATATTCTCGTCATCCATTTTATCGCGATCATTCTTCCCCATCCATATTAAACATATACATTCGAAGGGTTTTCTGTCAAGTTAAAAACAGTGCGTTTCAGTCAACCAGAACGAAATAGTCCTCATCCGGACAACTAGGGCTTCATATTCACCTACCAATTAACATCTTCTCCTCGCCGCCACTCAATTCGTCATTCTCCGCAAGGGGTCTACCTCCAAACATAACGCTTCTATTATCGTTCAATATTATCGATAAACAAGATAATCAACAATTAAAAGTAGCGATTACCCGGATCTACAGTATCATGAGTCTTCATCACCAACACCTAACAAAAACGTAGTCTCGAAATTGATTAAGGATTCGCTGACACTGTTTGCAGTTAGGGTTCTTCTTCGTCGCTGTCGTGTTCAGATCTTTTCGCCGATCCAGTAAAACTTTTTTTTTTACATCTATAAAAGACATCGTACAAGTAAGGACATACTGGTTTTTCCATCCAACATAAGTACTCATATTATTATAAGTGCCTTTTACTGAAATCAGTTTGGCAGTGCCTTATACTGTAATTGTCTCATATTGTCATTAGCAATTCTTATTTTGTATATAAGAAATAGGCAAAAGAATCGTAAAGAATCCTTACTAAATAAACGCTTCCATGTGGCATAGGTACATTTGCTGCAGCAGAAGCAATCGCGTTGATTTTTCCTTTGCTCTTTCGAAGATGAGGAATTGCAAAATATGTCATGTATGTTGTACCCCAAAGTTGATTATCTTGTAATACACACAGATTAGATTAGGTAGCCACTATTGTTATCTATAGTTTGCGTTTACATTTATAAATTATGTATATCTTTAGATATTTACCTTTCGATTAAAAAATAAGAATCTTGGAGATATATACTAACGTACTTTAGTGCTTTTATCAAAATAAAAAATATTATGTATTATGTTAATGTGCGTTGATAAAAGATGTTAACGATGGGTAAATTTGATTTTTTAGCAAAATATTTTTAACATATAAAAACGCAAATCTATACTATTAAAAGGAATCATTCTTAATAAATGTTCAAAAACTATCATGGTATTTACAATATATACTATTATATTTATTAGACAATTTCATTAACTCATTAAGGGTAATTTAGTCATATCATTAAACTACTAAAAATATATTAAATTAAATTAAATTAAATTAGTTTGATAACAGAAAATACCAATAAATTATATCTGATATTTAATAAAATTCAAATTAATTTAATTTCGAAATTATTTCAAAATTTTTCATAATAATATCTTAACATAATTACCACAAAATATTTATGGCACGAATAATTAATATAATTATATATATTATATTATAAATTAAATATATATGATATTATAATCAATTGTTTCATTATACAATAAAAAGCACTACTTTAAAATATTTAAAAGCTAATATGATATTTATTAAATGTGACAATTTATAGTCAATGATGAATATGTACTCAGTATTTTTTGGTTACATATATAAATACTATGAAAAAAATATTATGTAAATAATTATTTTATGGTTTGTTAATTATTTTTTTGCCGAAAATCATGGGTTTTGCGGATTTGACAAACACAAATTTGTAGATATTACGGGTTTTACAAGTTTTTAGCGGGTTTTATAAGTTTTAGCAGAAAATATACTTTTATGAGAAAATGCCGGTTTAACAAAAATGTGTTTTTATAGATTTAGCAGAAACACATAATTTTAGAAATTTGGTTTTGCAGATTTTATGGGGTTTACGGGTAAACACCGGTTTACGAAATGCGAATAAAGCATATTTTGCTGATTTTATGGGTTTTAACGGGAAATATAGTCATACAGGAAAATGCGGGTTTGTGGGTTTGGAAACTCGATTTTGCTTTTGGCAGAAACACATAAGTTTAGAAATTTGGTCGTAAAACATGATTTTAAGAATTTTACAAATTTATGGAAAATATAGGTTTGTGGATTTGGTCAGAAACGTGATTGCAGATTTTATGATGTTTACATGTTTTGGCGGGGTTTATAGGTTTGATGGAAAATGTGGTTTTATAGATTTTATTAAAAATGCAGGTTTGCGGATTTGATGAGAAACATAATTTTGCAGGTTTGACAAAAACACGTAATTTAGAAATTTGGCCATAGAATACAATTTTATGGTGTTGGGGAAAACAAAAATTTTGGTTTTGTTAAAAAATGTTTACAATTTTGGAAGGAAAATACGGTTTGATGGAAAATGTTATTTTTACAATTTCTACGGGAATCCCTGATTTTAGTACAACAACATGATTTTAGTAATTTTTTATTTTGTTAAAAAATGTGGGTTTACAGTTTTAGCAGAAAAATATTGTTTGATGGAAAATGTTATTTTTACAGTTTCTATGGGAATTCCCGATTTTGGTACAACAATGTGATACTAGTATTTTGCTGGAAAATGCTGCTTTTTATTTCGATCGAAAACTCTGATTTTATGGTTTTGACAACGAAAAAACTTGATTTTATGGTTTAAATTAAAAATGTATTTTGGTTTTTTAATTTTTGAGATTTAAATGCTGCATCCAAACTCTATTTTTTTAGCATCATAAATATTCAAATTTTAAGATATTATAGATTTTGTATTCAGATATTTTAAAAGAGTATATTTGAACATTTACATCCAAATAAGTATCTGGATGCAAAAACAAACAAAACCTAAGTAAATATTGAAATCTTAATTATAAACAAATAAAATCTCTCTTGCATTATAAAATATAATACTTTGAAAATATTTGTTACAAAATTTAACCGGAAATCCGCTAATCAAAATATCTTCTTTTTTTTAGAATATCAAGCCTAAATAATTTTAAGAACATAAAACCATAACGTAAAAGTAGTTTATATAATCTAATAAAAAATTTATGTTTGAGCCACAATTTTGGATTTAATAATATAAGCTATTTTTTTTGAACAAAAGTTTAATGTAAACCGATTTTTGGTATGGCCTAAAAATATTTTATGATGCGCGGATCTAAAATCTAGTGCAAATTTAAGCCAATTGTTTGTAAAACAACCAAATTCATGAATTTGATGACTAACCTACTCGATTTGTAAATGGATCTTAAGACACTTAGAACAGTCTTAATGGAGAATTTTGAATGTCTAAAGTAAAAGGTCTTAGTAATAAAAATGAATAAAAAAATAATGAAATGATTTAAAATAAGACCCATAATATCTAAAATAAAATACTTTTTAGAGTTAAGATACCTAGTATCTAAAATAAAATAATAAAATATTTTTAAAACCTTTTTAGTGGTTCTCCATTAGAATTGGTCTTACCATTAACGTTGGATTTGAGTGAAATCTTGGAAAATAACAGATTGAAATACACCAGCGTTGTCGACGGTTTAGATATGATAACTTGATTAGAATAATTATCATGTAAATAAATTTAACAGAACAAATTTACCAATATTTCATTATTTGTGGCAGATACATTAAGTAAATGTTATTTCTATTTCATATATAAAGGGAACTATGCGTAAGTATTTATTAGTCCAACACTCACATCCCCAAATTAAGACTAAGATATAGGAAGATCATCTTTTTTCTAAGTTTTCCGAAATGATGAACCGTCTCACTGATGATCCACAAAAGTTGGGTCTTTGACTCATATCATGAAGCATCATAACAAAGAATACAAGTCTCTACGTTATCTGGGTTCGTATAACATCTATTGATTTCATTTCCCCTGATGATATTGTTCAGAGCCCAAATAGTTTAAAACCATTTGTAATCATGGATCATAAGCTTTTCGTTCAGGCATAATACAGCCATCTACAATGAGAGGCCACAGTGCAAAATGCCACTCTCGTTCTTAGATTGATCAATAATGTGATAATACTAATTAGGCAAAACCAGTTTCCTAAATACACAATCGTAAGAGATAATGGCATAAAAAAGTAATTAAATTGAGTTAGGGATAACTTGGGCTTCGATCTGTCGGCTTCAATTACACAACTCTTTTGGACTTTGGTAATGAAATGAATAAAAAAAAAGTAAAAGTTATTTTTGCTTTTGCTTTTGTCCGGAAAAAAAACTTATGTGTTAATAAAAAACAGTTGACGGGGTACTAGGGTTTTAAAAGCCTCTCTTGATTCCCTCCTTCTCTCTGGATACCAAAGCTACTCAGTACCTTCTGACGTCGTGTCGTTTCTTTCAACCTTGTAAAATCTTGGTTGGCAAATTGTTAGACCTCTTTTATTCTTTTATTGTTGGCTTCAAAGTTTTACACAATGCTAATTACTTTGAGCTTGTTATATTGTTGAATTCAGGGGCATGGAATCCCAGATCATCAAACCTTCTTTTTCGTCTTTCAACGGAAACCGTTTCTCCTCCGTAGCAGTAGCACGGTCACGGAGACCTTTGTCAACGGTTGTTTTACCTCAGACGAGGAGAAGAACAAGAATGGCATCTTGTGTTTTATCCATGTCGAAGAAAGACGATGGCTTCACTTACAAAGATTCCGGTGTGGATATCGATGCTGGGACTGAGCTCATTAGACGAATCTCAAAGATGGCTCCCATGATCGGCGGATTCAGTGGTGGCATGCCAATAGGTACATTTATACAAACAAAAAAAAAACTAGAAAAATTCACCTGAATGTTGAGAGTTTTGGCTTGAGTTTTGTTTGAGCAGGTGATACATTAGTCGTATTAGGTATGGATGGTGTAGGGACTAAACTCAAATTAGCATTTGAGACGGGAATTCATGAAATCATTGGAATCGACTTGGTAAATCATATATATGTGACTTTTGTTTTTCCAAACAAACACATGAGTGATAACTTTTTTATTTTTTGGTGGTTTTAACTTTCAGGTCGCTATGAGTGTGAATGATATTGTTACTTGTGGTGCGAAGCCTCTGGGATTCCTTGATTACTACGGTACTAGTGATCTCGATGTAGACCTTGCAGAAAAGGTATATCATCATATTTGTGATCTTTCTTGCGTTAGGGATTAATTGTTGATAAACATTGTGTGTTTGTAGGTAATTAAAGGGATTGTTGATGGTTGTAAGCAATCCGGTTGTACCTATGGCCTCATAGGAGGAGAGACTGCAGAGATGCCTGGCTTTTATGCTAAAGGCGAATACGATCTCGTTGGGGTTGCAATAGGCCAAGTGAATAAAGATTCTGTTATAGACGGGAAAAGCATTGTCGCTGGTGATATTCTTATCGGTCTTCCTTCTAGTGGCCTTCATTCAAATGGCTATTCTTTGGCAAGAATGTATGTTTGTTATAATCTGTGAGAGGTTTTTTTCCGGAAAATTATTTTAACTGTGGTATCTCGTTTTCAGGGTAGTGGCTCAAAGCGCTCTTTCGCTTAAAGATCAACTTCCAGGTGGATCAATTTCCCTTGGTGAAGCTCTAATGGAACCTACTATCATTTATGTGAAACAGGTTTTTTATTTTTTATTTTTTTTTGGCTAAGAATCAATATCCATTTTGCTGTCACATAACTTTAGTCCATTTTCACAGGTTCTTGACTTTATCAACAAAGGAGGAGTGAAAGGGTTAGCTCATATAACGGGAGGAGGTTTCACTGACAACATCCCCCGAGTCTTACCGGATGGTTTGGGTGCTGTTATTGACACTGATGCTTGGGAACTTCCACCTTTGTTCAAATTTATCCAAGAGGTAATTCTAGATAGCATATGATCCAACTAATCTCTTTGTAGAATGTATGATTAATTGTTTGGTTATATTATTTAGTGTGGGAGTATAGAAGACAGTGAGATGAGAAGGACGTTTAATATGGGAATTGGGATGGTTATGGTTGTGAGTCCCGAAGCTGCTTCGAGGATACTTGCACAAGTTGAGAATGGCGACTATGTTGCATATCGCATTGGTCAGGTTATTGAAGGTGAAGGCGTTACCTATTAACATGTTGTCTACACTTTTTTGTAAGACTGTTGTGTTCCTAACTAAGGTGTTTCTTCACACAATGAGTTTGAATTAAAGTTCAGAAAAAGACTTGTGCTACGCGTAACTAACAATTAAACAGTTGAAGGTAATTAGAGGCAGAAATGTTAATCACTATCTCGGAAAAATGGGGTTAATCACCATTCTGCCTATTCTCTCGAAAACCAAACCTTGTGTCAACTTCACTGATGAAGAGGTCCAAGAACGCTGGAACAGAGGTTGTGGATGCTAAGGCAGGTGCAGGTTCAGCTACTCTGTCGATGGCTTATGCTGCAGCGAGATTCGTCGAGTCGTCTCTCTCCGTGCTCTTGACGGAGATGGAGATGTCTACGAGTGCTCGTTTGTGGATTCAGGTCTTACGGAGCTTCCTTTCTTTGCATCGCGGATCAAGCTCGGGAAGAACGGAGTCGAAGCTGTGATCGAGTCTGACCGAGTATAAGCAGAAAGCGTTAGAAGCTCTCACGACAGAACTCAAAGCCAGCATCGAGAAAGGTGTTGCATTTGCAAACAAACCTGCTAACTAGAAATCTTGATTTTCCATCTGAAAAGACATGCTTCTTCTCGTTCAAGCGGAATAACCATTTTTCTTCCCATCATTTTGGAGTTTTGTTGCATCGGCGAGATATTTTCTTGTTGTAGAATAAAAGAATGTATTAGGCTTCAGTTTTGAAGATTTTTAATACATGACTTTGAAGCAGATTTTTTCACCAAAAGTCATTACAGGAGCAAAACCCACCTTTAAAATGATGGAAACGGGAACGGTCTCTAACGATCACTGCACGATCGTAAACACGAGACACGAACATTTGGAATTCGACAGAACATATGTACTTAAGACCGATTTGTGTTTCTGTATTGCGGTGTTTACGTTCAACCTTCTAGGTTTGTTCCCTCACTTGTGATTACTCCAAACTCTTGGTTTTGACTCTTTTGTTGTTGTTGTTGTTGTTGCTATTCGTTTGATTATTAATAAAACTTAATGCTCCCTGTGACTTAATGGCACTCGTCGACGTTGCTACATGTGGTCATATTCATCTTTCTCCAAAATCTTAGTGATAATTTTATTTTAAAGAGAGAAAAGTTATAATGATGTTCATTACATTACAAACACTTTAAAATGGTAACCAAACATATAATATAGTTACGATAAGCATAAGCATAAATGTAAATGTTTATTCATTTATCAGGTACACAATGCACATGCGCACTCTTCAATTTTCTCTAGAGTCATGCTCCTGGAAGTGGACGCTTGCAGGCAGACGCACATTCTGCTTTGGTAGGAGTACAGATGTTCTTCGGTGTTCCAAAACAGCAATAACATTTTTTTGTTCTTTGTTCGTTGCAATAAACGTGCAAGCAGAATGATGGATCAAGACTCCCTGGGGGTGCAGCACCTGTAATATATGTACCCACAAAACCATTCAAAACAAACTATAACTATGGAAAAGTTTGAGTGTATGATCATAACAATGATGATGATGAATTGATGATGATAAATGATGGATATTTCATATACATACACTCATGTAGAGGTAAGAGGGAAATCACGATGATCGAAAGGATATACAAATGGTATGATGACATTATTGTATTGTTTTTTTTTTCTTTTCCTTTTACACAATTGTTAAAGTTCTTACGTATAGTAGGGATTTATATAGATGTGTGTAAATCTGTGTTGCACGTCTCTTATGGTGATCCATAAAAAGTTTCTAGAGATTTCTTTTGACTAATTTTAGGCTTCTCTTATTCCGTAATATTATATGTATTGTTGTTTTCTTTTATACAATGTTTACAGAAACCATCAAATACCAAGTAATTTTCGTTTATGTACATAAATATATATTCTCCTTTCGTTCTCTACAAGAAGAAGATTCTTTTTACGTCTAACGTACAAATCGTTTTGCTTCATAAATCTCTTTGTCAGATTAATGAAAATACAAACATCATATCGTTTTGAGCTTTTATCATACAACAACATAAAATTTCAAATTTGATCTAATTCTAATTAAGAAATGCAAAAAAGCAAAGAAGGAGCAAACACACTCTTATCTTCTGACCAAATCTAGCAGCACCCTCTGCTCATACTGAGATGTATAACCAAGAACAATATGTAAAACCGATATATATATATATGTTCATAGTGGATACACAAAAGCTGAACATTAGAGGGTACTGGGCCAAGCAACGTCCTCCTAGACGGTGATCTAACGGCTCATGTCAGCGACTTTGGTCTCGCTCGTCTTCTCTTCAAGTTTGACCAGGAGTCTTTCCTCAACCATCTCAGCTCGGCTGGTATTAGAGGAACCATTGGTTATGCCGCACCAAGTAAAACTATCACATTTTTGTAGTGTTCTATGAAAAAAATAAGTATATTATTTATTCATTTCAATTTTGGTATCGTTGTTTTTCTGAATTATGGTTGCAGAATATGGAATGGGAGGACAACCATCAATAAGTGGAGCATGCACGAAGGAGTCAGATCCTTTCTTTTCCTTGGCGGCATTTTCCACATAAAAGGGGAATCTTTTGTTACAATAGAAGCAGAAGTGATCGATTAGGAAAGCAAAAAAAATTATCTGAATTCTAAGAGACCAACCAATGAGTTATTTGGAGGAAACTTTACACTACACAGCTACACCAAGTCAGCTTTGCCAGAGAGAGCATTGGACGTTGTGGATGAATCGATTCTTCACAATGGTCTCAGAATTGGTTTCCCTATTGCTGAGTGCTTGAAACTGGTTTTGGATGTGGGACTTAGATGTTGCGAAGAATCTCCCACGAACCGTTTGGCGACGAGTGAAGCTACAAAGGAGTTAATCTCAATCCGAGAGAGGTTCTTTAAAACCAGAAGAACAGCCAGAGATTAAACCGTTTATGGTTTTCTCTACAAACTTTGCATCCGATTTAAAAGACTTAACATGACGCCGATATGGTATTGTTTTTCATAATCTGTGGTTTTTACTCTATCAAACATAATTATGCTTGCAAAATATTGTTAAACGAATGCTACGTTGTTTGTAGACAATATATGAATGTTGTGTGTTACCAGCTATATATAATTGCTAATCTTCATTGTTATTTTATTTAGTTTTTGGTAATCCAAAATTCTGGGTTTTTTTTCGTAATGAGCAATATGATCAAGATAAGGTTAAAAGGGAGTAGTAATTAGTGTCTTAAGAATTTATTTATTTGTTTCAGTGAAACCTGAAAAGTTTTCAAACAGAGCTTTTAGGTTGTGTACTTTTTCTTCTCGATCTAATTGAATTAACTAGGCAGTATGAACGGTGAGTTAAAGCAACTTGTACATCAGTGTGATTCGACAAATATCTAAATGGACTTTTTAATGTGTGTGCTTTTCAGCAAATCATGTTGTATATGGTGTTTCTAGGAAAATAAACAAAAACAAATCAGTAAAAGAAGTTGTAACGATATTGCTTCAGCTGTGCTTTGTTGTTTTTTTTTTTTTTTTTTAAGAAAAAGGCTTTCAAAATGGGCTAATAGAAAAGTAAGAAAAGTATAAAGATTGTCTGAGCCCGGGTTCGAACCGGGGACCTCTAGTGTGTGAGACTAGCGTGATAACCGACTACACCACCCAGACTGATGCTGTGCCTTTGTTGTTGCTGCTACAAACTCTGGTAAACTGTAATGTTTTTCCAATTTGAACTCAGTCCAATTGGGACGGTGAGGAACCAAGAGGTTCGGTATATGAAAATATTTGTATATTACTTTACTGTCTTAGTAATATTTAATGGTTTCTTTTCATCGGAATGATTAAGACATTCTGTATTAGAGTATAATTATGCAACTTGTAATTGGGTTTGTTGAAGACTATGTATAAGCAATTTGGTATATGTCGAAACCATCGATGAAAATTAAGAGAAGTTATAATAAGATATAATAAATTAGACAACAAGTGGCTTCTCTTCAAGCAGTTTTATTGGCTCACCACTAATTTTGGTGCTGTGTTTAAAGTTTATTGGTCTATCATGCCTCCTCTATCATAAACTAATGACTGCTTTGTGTGATGGTAATATTTCAAGTTTGTGTTTAAGCTGGTTTAGATGGGTACACAACCAAGAAAGAAAACTCTCTAGCTCAGAGAGCACTAAGTTAATTGTCCCATGATGGGAAAAAATCATGCAACCACCACCACATGATGTCTAAAGAAAAGTCAAAAAAATTTGCAGTAATCATGCAATTATTTTTTGTCATTTTAGACGGTTGACTAATTGACTTCGATAGCAAGATTCTGGACGGCAAGAATTCAATCCTATTTTTTTCTTTAAAGTACAGCAACACCACAAGGTAAATGCATCTTGCTTTTACTTCGTCCTTCATATTCAGTTTCCCGCAAAATATGAGAAACACCATAAATACTTTAACAAAAGAATACAAATGAGAAGCATGAAACTATTTATTTTACTTTCTTTCCATGCTCTCATGTTACTTGAAGCATACGGTTTCACCGACGGGACTGATCGACAAGCGTTGCTTGAGTTCAAGTCTGGAGTTTCTGAAGGATAAAGAGCTGTCTTGTCCTCGTGGAATCATTCGTTCCCTCTCTGCAATTGGAAAGGGGTTACATGCGGTAGCAAACACAGAAGAGTTACTAGTCTGGACCTCGGAAGATTGCAATTAGGCGGAGTGATATTACCATATGTTGGTAATCTTTCGTTTCTCATGTCACTTGATCTCTCTGGTAACTCTTTTGGTGGAACCATCCCTCAAGAAGTTGGAAACTTGTTTAGACTTGAGTACTTGAATACGAGCTTTAATATTCTCGGAGGAGTGTTTCCACTCAGTCTATTTAATTGCTCTAGATTGATGGACCTTGAGTTAGATTCAAATCATCTCGAAGGAAGTGTTCCTTTGGAAATAGGGTCATTAACAAGGCTTCTTTATTTATTTCTTGGTCAAAACAAGCTAAAAGGAAAGCTCCCTGCATCTCTAGGAAACTTGACATCACTCATGCAAGTTAGCTTTACAAGTAACGAATTAGTAGGAGGGATTCCCAAAGATATAGCTAGATTGTCTCAAACTCTTTTTCTTTCTTTATCTCTGAACAACTTCTCAGGCGTTCTTCCTCCTTCCATTTACAATTTGTCTTCACTTGAGATGTTAAACATCTTTGGTAATAGCTTTTCGGGTAGCCTAAGACCTGATTTCGGTATTCTGCTACCAAACCTTATAGAGCTATATATGGGAAATAACTATTTCGCAGGAGATATTCCCACAATACTTTCTAATATCGCTACTCTTGAAACGTTGGGAATCGAGTATAACAATCTGATAGGAAGTATTCCTCCGAGCTTTGGGAAAGTACAAAATTTGGAAGTCTTATTACTTCATGGCAATTCTCTTGGAAACTACTCTTTTGAAGATCTTGGTTTCATTGATGCCTTGTCCAATTGCACCCAACTACATATCTTAAGTGTTGGTTTCAATAAGCTTGGGGGTGACTTGCCTACCTCCATTGCTAATTTTTCCACAAGCCTAAAGCTACAAATGAATCTTATCTCCGGAAGCATTACTCATGACATTGGGAATCTCGTAAACCTACAGAAACTTGTCTTGTTTGAAAACATGTTGACAGGACCACTCCCAACCTCTATTGGGAAGCTTTTAGGATTGGGTTATCTAAGTCTAGATTCAAATAGAAAGTCAGGAGAGATACCTTCTTCTATAGGCAACATCACTCGGTTAGAAACACTCTATTTGTCCAACAATAGTTTTACAGGACCTATTTATCCAAGTCTTGGAAATTGTAGTTATCTACTTTATTTATATATTGGATCTAATAAGTTGAATGGAACTATACCTAGGGAAATTATGCAAATCCTGTCCCTTGTATACATAATCATGGAAGAAAATTCTTTGACTGGCTCTTTACCAGAAGATGTTGGAGGATTACAAAAGCTTGTTGTATTATCACTTGGGAATACTAACTTATCGGGACAACTTCCACAAACCTTGGGAAAATGCCTCTCGATGGAAGAGCTTTATCTGCAAGAAAATTCTTTTGAAGGAACCCTTCCAGATATAAGAGGATTGGTAGGTGTTAGAAGAGTCGATTTGTCGAAAAATAATCTCACGGGAAGTATACCTGAATATCTTGCAAAGTTTTCTAAGTTGGAGTATCTCAATCTATCCAATAACAATTTCCAAGGAAAGGTGCCAACAGAAGAAAATTTCCAGAACTCTACTATAGTTTTGGTATATGGAAACAAAAATCTGTGTGGAGACATCAAAGAACTGAAACTAAATCCATGCCTTGCGTAAGAAGCAAAAATGGAAAGCAAGCATTCCTCTCTTTTGAAGAAAGTTGTGATTGGGGTTAGTGTAGGCATGACTTTGCTTTTGCTATTGTTCATAGCTTTAGTCTCTTTACACCAGTTCAGAAAAAGAAAAAAGAAGCATCAGACCCATAATACAACTCCTTCTTCGTTGGAGGTCTTCCATGAGAAGATAAGTTATGGAAATCTTCTAAATGTGACAGATGGGTTCTCTTCAAGCAATATGATTGGATCAGGCAGTTTTGGTACTGTGTTTAAAGCATTGTTTCCCGCAGAGACGAAAGTTGTTGCAGTCAAAGTTCTCAACATGCAGAGACGTGGAGCAATGAAGAGCTTTATGGCAGAGTGTGAATCCTTGAAAGACATAAGACATCGTAATCTTGTGAAACTATCGACGGCTTGTTCGAGTATTGATTTTCAAAGAAACGAATTTAGAGCTCTCATCTATGAGTTTATGCATAATGGAAGCCTTGATATGTGGTTGCACCAAGAGGAAGTGGAAGAGATTCGTAGGCCCTCAAGAACTTTGACATTTCTTGAAAAGCTCAACATAGCAATAGATGTGGCTTCTGCTATGGAATATCTTCACATTCATTGCCATGAACCTATAGCTCATTGTGATCTTAAGCCAAGCAATGTACTTCTAGATGATGATCTAACTGCCCATGTTAGTGACTTTGGTCTCGCTCGGCTCCTCCTAAAATTTGACCAAGAGTCCTTCCTTAATCACCTAAGCTCGACAGGAGTCGGAGGAACCATCGGCTATGCCACACCAGGTAAAATAAAACTATCACATATCTGAAATGTTTGAATAAATAAAATTAGTTTATTCTTTTCTTTGTTTATATGGTGCAGAATATGGAATGGGAGGACGACCATCAATACATAGTGATGTGTATAGCTTTGGGGTTCTTCTTTTGGAAATGTTTACCGGTAAGCGACCAACCAATGTGTTATTTGGAGGAAACTTTACACTACACACCTACATTGCGTCAGCTTTGCCAGAGAGAGTATTAGACGTTGTAGATGAATCGACTCTTCACAATGGTCTCAAAGTTGGATTCCCTCTTGCTGAGTGTTTGACATTGGTTTTGGATGTGGACTAAGGTGTTGTGGAGAATCTCCTATGAAGCGGTTGGCATTGAGTGAAGCTGTGAAAGAATTAAACTCAATCAAGGAAAGGTTTTTCATAGCAAAAAGAGCAGCTAGACGTTGAACTGTTTATGCGTTTTCCAATAACTTTGTAACCTTTGAATTACAGGTTCAGCCTAAGACCTATATCATTTTACCTATGTTTTCAGAATATTGTCAAGGAATGCTATATATGCTTATTTTCAGACAAAAGATAAATATTTTTGCTTCCAGTTTCCAAATTTGTTTAGGTGTTCTCAGCTTCTAAGTTTTATAATCCAAAGCTTTAGTTCTTTTTCTTTCAATTTTGTTTATGTGTTTTTAAATAAAAATATTGGGTGATTAAGGTAAATTTGTTAGCTAAATTTACTGAGCTATGAGGTTCTGTTATTTGATTTTTCTAGGATCATTCACTACAAGAATCAATATACATAGTTACATGATCCAAATCAACATATTTATTAAATCAGAAAATGTTAATATGATTTAAAAATGTAAAAGTTAAATAAAAAAATTAACAATTAACAATATATGTATAAAAAAGTAATCATTATCAATTATCAATTTAAAAAAATCTACAACAAATCTATTTAACAATTAAAACAATGAAAACTGAATAAAAATATAACATAAAACTCTTGGAAAACATGATGGAGAAGGAAAAAATGGCTTTGCATGAGCATTATAATTTCTTAACAAAATTGAATGTGAATCAACATGAATCATGAACTATATACAGTGGTACACAACATCAATAAGACTTTCAATAAAAAACTAAATATTTAAACACATAAACCTTCAAAAAAAAACTACACAAATTCTATGGAAAATAGAAAAATACCAAAATCTTAGCAAGATTATATTTCTCTAAATCAAATATATATGTACGTCAAAATTGGATAATTCGATAGGTGTCATTGTTATTATTTTACCTAATAGTTTTTTAAAATTTATAAATAAAAATATGATAAATTACACATTATATATTAAATACTCTTATATAAATGAAAATTTCTATAAATATATATAATTTTTAATAATTTTAAAAACAGTTCTAAAAAAAATAAACCAATATATTAATACAGACTCGCGCGTAACGCGAGTTATATACCTAGTATAATATGTAAAAGTTGATGGCATAGTGCATTGAGGGCATTCACATGAGATTAGAAAACTCGATCTGATTGGTCCACATCAGCATATTCATTAAATAAAAAAATGTTAAGTATGATTATGACAGAAAAACTTGATTTAATTGGTCCACATCAACTTTTAAATCAAACCAAAAATTATTATTTATAATTAAAATATTAAAAGTTAATTTAACAAATTATGTCTAACAAAAAAATTAAATTCAATCTGATTGATCCAAATCAACATATTTATTAAATCAGAAAATGTTAATATGGTTTAAAAATTTAAAAATTAAATTAAAAAATTAACAATTAATAATACATGTATAAAAAAGTAACCATTATCAATTATCAATTTTAAAAAATCTACAACAACTGGAATTTAACAATTAAAACAATGAAAACTGAATAAAAATATAACATAAACTTTTGGAATACATGATGGAGAAGGAAAAAATAGTTTTGCATGATCATTATAGCTTCCTAACAAAATTAAATGTGAATCAATATAAATCATGGATTATATATACAGTGGTACACAACATCAATAAGACTTTCAATAAAAAAACTAAATTTTGAACACATAAACCTTCAAAAAAAAAGAACTACAGAAATTCTATAGAAAACAGAAAATAATACCAAAATTTTAGGATTATATTTCTCTAAATCAAATGTATATGTACGTGAAAGTTAGATAATTCAATAGATGTCAGTGTTATTTATTTTACCTAATAGTTTTTTAAAAATTATAAATATAAATAGGATAAATGACATATTATATATTAAATTCTCTTATATAAATGAAAATTTCTATAAATATATATAATTTTTAATAATTTTCAAGATAGTATCTAAAAAAATAAACTAAAATATTAGTACAGATACCTAATTTATATAAACAAATGAGCCACAATATAAAACAAAGTTACATAAATAAAATGATGTCCACTTTTGAGTTTCTACTACATGATAGAATATATCATCTCCACGTCGACAAACAGGAAGAAAAACAAAAATTAAAGATATCATCTCCACATAGAAAAATAAAGAGAGAGAACCGTGTTAAAGTTACTTAAGACACCAAAACCCCCTAATTACTGCAATATGAAACATAATTAAGGATTAAAACAAAACTAAAGAGTACTAATTATACAATTTGTTTATAGCTTAGCCTCCTCCTCTCTCAAGTAAATTGTCAAACTGTTTTTCTTTCTAGAACAACACTTCTTGACCTTCTAATGACATGTTGTTGTTATTAGTGATCATGTCATGGCTTTGCTCATCAAAGAGCCATTTCTCAAACAACGAAAGAGACCCTTGTGTAATTAGACCATTAATGTCATGATCTATTAGCTTGGGCTTGTCTTCAACTTCATCCATGGGGTTGAAGCTGAATAGAGTCTGATCAAACCCTTCTCCGCCTTCTTCAGTCGTGCTAGGGCTCGAAGCCGCCGTGGTGATAGCCCTCTCGGTGGCTGCATCTGCCAAGGGCAACAAGGTCGTCTTTGGTGTGTCTTTCATGAAGTTCTGAAGCAAACGAGCGATGTTCTCAGCGCTTGAAGCGTAGACACCAGATGGGTATGGATTAGTGTTGCTTGTGGTGGTGGTGGTGGTGGTGATAGAGGAAGAAGAAGATGATGAACCATAACCAAGATCGGCAATAGAGAAATTAGTAGGGTTTTGTGGTTTGTCAAGAGACAAGGCATCACAAAGAGCTTGTTTAGCCATGTTTATATCTGTCTGAAGCCTTCTCTCCCATTGACCTTTGTTGGAGCCGCTGTTTTGACGTGAACTAGTGTTTTTGTTTGATGAAGACAAGTCTTTATTATCAACTCCATTATTGATAGTACTATCACAAGAATCATTCATCTTCTTGAGCTTTTTCTTCAAATGTGTGTTCCAATAGTTCTTTATATCATTGTCTGTCCTTTCTGGAAGGTAAGATGCAATAGCTGCCCACCTTCAAATTTATTTGGTCCCCAAGTTATTAAAAGTTCACAAGCCTTATCTTTTGAAAACAAAAATTGCATACTTTTGTAGTAGATCATGTGCATGTGAATTTTGTAGTGTACTTTTTTTCTTGCTCTTCAAGGTTTTGTTATTGTTGAATGAGGCAACATAATTTAATCAGTTTTATTTCCGGAGCTCCGAAGTGGTTAACGTCAGCATTATGTAAAGATGTAATTATTTATCAAAAATAAACAGGAGAAACAACAAGCGGGGATAGCTCAGTTGGGAGAGCGTCAGACTGAAGATCTGAAGGTCGCGTGTTCGATCCACGCTCACCGCATTTTTGTCATAATTTTTTTTTTATTATAAATTGTTTTTTATTTCGAAAAGTAGACAAAATACAGATGGATCAAAAGAGATGAGTTGGAGATACTTCAAATCCAGAGCTCTTTCCTGATTGGCTAATCCAAAAATCTCACTCTCTATCTATATCCCATCTCTGATTCTCCCTCCTCTCTTCTCATCCACAAAACCCTTACTTTAAAAGTCAAGCTCCCTTGAGAGTCATACCAATACATCACCAAATAGCAGAGAAGAAGAACTCAGAGAGAAAAAACGCTTAGTCCGAGAGAGAGAGAGAGAACAATGGCTTCAACATTCACAAGCTCAAGCAGTGTTCTGGCCCCAACATCATTCCTTGGCCAGACTAAAGGCCCAAGCTTTAACCCTCTTCGTGATGTTGTCTCTCTCGGATCTCCCAAATACACTATGGTCTGTTTCTCTTTTTCCTTTTTTTTTTCTTCTTCAATCTCATATAAAAGGTTTCATCTTGCTCCTTGGGGTTTAGTCTGATTTTCAATCTTTTTTTGCTAATTTGAAATGTGAAGGGAAATGATCTTTGGTACGGACCAGACAGAGTGAAGTACTTAGGTCCCTTTTCCGTCCAAACTCCGTCTTACCTCACTGGAGAGTTCCCCGGCGACTACGGTTGGGACACCGCCGGTTTATCCGCAGACCCTGAAGCCTTCGCCAAAAACAGAGCTCTTGAGGTTAGTCTCTAAAAACTCTCACTCACTCAAAACCAAAAACAAAACTCAACACTGAATCACTAATCCTCAACATTCACAGGTGATCCATGGGAGATGGGCAATGTTGGGAGCTTTTGGATGCATAACCCCTGAAGTTCTTCAGAAATGGGTCCGTGTGGAGTTCAAAGAACCGGTCTGGTTCAAAGCTGGTTCACAAATCTTCTCTGAAGGCGGTTTGGACTACTTGGGCAACCCAAACCTAGTCCACGCACAGAGCATCTTGGCCGTCCTTGGCTTCCAAGTTATCCTAATGGGACTTGTCGAAGGCTTCCGCATCAACGGTCTCGATGGTGTTGGAGAAGGCAACGACTTGTACCCGGGCGGACAATACTTTGACCCGCTGGGTCTCGCCGATGACCCGGTTACTTTCGCTGAGCTCAAGGTGAAAGAGATCAAGAACGGAAGGTTGGCTATGTTCTCAATGTTTGGCTTCTTTGTTCAAGCCATTGTTACCGGAAAAGGTCCTTTGGAGAATCTCCTTGACCATCTCGATGACCCTGTCGCTAACAATGCTTGGGCTTTCGCAACAAAGTTTGTACCCGGGGCTTGATTTTTTTCTCAAGTCTTGATTTGATATGATATGAACATAAATCAATCTTTCTTGTTTCTTTCTCAAGTTACAAAAAACTCTATTTGCTATGGACAGAAGAAGTTCCCAACAAAAAAATACATTTGTCTCTCAAGCTGAATCTACAATGCTCTCTCAATCTAACATTTTGGGGATTTGTGAAACTAAAATACAAACATACCTAAGCGGGTGAGTGAGTGGTCGAAACCAACTAGCCTCTTTTGCCCCACCATTTCCGGTGACGACCTTTATCACCACCATCTACTCTATGGAGTCTTGCTTTAGTCTCTCTTAACCTAGCTTTGTAATCTTTCTTCCATGTCTCGAATCTTTGCTTCAGTCTCCTGAATTCATCTTCTGGGTGTTGCTGTTGCTGTCCGTTTGGGGTTGCCTGCGGTCCAGGCTTCACCTCCACGATGGCTCTTGCATCTTCGTCGAAATTGAGTCTCCTTTGATCAAACTCTCTCGCGAGATGATTAACCGCGTTCAAACTTCCGTTGAGCTCTCTGATTCTGAGCTCTGGAGTGTTCCCGTTGGTGAATTTAGTAGTGGGAGTTCTCACTCCGGGTGTTCCAGTAGACATTGTGTCCTCTGAGTCATAACCAAAAGGGGATATCGATGTGTCTTGTCTTCCTCCTGCTTGACCTGTAATGTTCTCTGAAGCTAAACTCTTTCGAGCAGCCGCAAGACTCATCTGCAACAAGACGAAAATGCAAAACTGAGACATATCAGAGAGTGTGTGATGCAGTGAGTGAGAAGGGACTTTCAGAATCAGTCAAAAACACGCAACCTGCAACGAAGACATTTGCTTCTGCCATGCATCTTCCATTGACTTCATCTTTACTTCATACTCCGACCATCTATCCTCAAATTGCCTCAACTGCTCTCTCAATGCTGTGTTCTCCTCTTCCTTCTGCGCTAACGCTGCTTCCGATTTCAGAACCCGCTTCTGGAGATCAGACATAGCTGATGGTTGAACTTGGAACTGCTCCACAGGAAGATCCTACATTTCAAAACAAGAGCAAGTTGTAGTCTAATAATGTTTGATTCAGAAGTGGACAATCTTCCTTCTAGTGGTAATAAGTACCTTGTCTTCTGAAATCCTCCTGCCCGCTTTCCTCTTTGATTTTGTCGTCACATCGAGTAATTCTCTCTGTCTTTGCATACTGTTGAACCGTTTTCGAGCCAACCATCCACGAACCGCTGCAAAGGAGAAAAATGATGATGAGCCTTTACCAAACTTGAGAACCAAAATCTTTTAATTTACCAAAGAAGATAACAAAACTTGCAGTTTACCAGATTGCAAGTGTATGACTGCAGTCGACTCTCCTGTGCTTGCTTCAGAAACAGAATCAGCATGATTCTTTGCTTCAGTGTCAAACATTCTTCGAGCAGTCTCACCTCGTACATACGACTGAAGTACCAATGCCCCTTTTCTCATGTTTTTGAAGTATTCACGAGACAAGTAACCACGGAAATGCTTTTGTAATCCCACTATGCCCTGAAGAACTTTCTTTCTCCTATCTTCAAAGATACCAATCTACAAAATATATTTAAAAAAATAGAGATGAGGGCATAAGAATTTTGTATCCACAAGATCATGAAACAGCCTAAAGAAAGTACTTACTTGCCCAGTTCGGAGGTACAACTTTGTATAGCCAACTTGATACATTTCAGGATGAACTTCGTATTGTTTCAGAACAGCAATTGATACGCTCAGAGGATCCTGAAAGGACTTTTTGTCTGATAGTAGGAAACCATATCTTCCTGCAAACTCTTGATGTGTCAAACGAGTAGGGTATCCAGATCTTGATATTCTAACAACCTCCAACACACCACAACATCTAAGCTGTTGCAGGACAAGATCCTCTTCGTAAACTCTGGGAAGCTGCTTCGAATTCGGCTTTATGCATCTGATGAAGTGAGGGCTTGTGTTCTCTAACTTGTTCATCAACTTGAAAAGTTGACCCTGTAAGAGATAGTTTGACCATGAGGGATATGCAATGTGAGTTTGAGGAAGATTCCAACTGCATAACTCAAGACTCTTTTACCTTAAACTTGGTCCCAACAGTTTGATTTGTGGAGTCTGATAACATAAGCGGCTTCTGAGATTTGTCACGCATTTTAGTAGAAAACAGTTTCAGCAACTGGCAGTCGCATGATGATAAGAGATTGATAAGATCAGCAGGCAGCGGATCCCTGTTCTTTTCCAAAAACCCATTTGTATCATAGAGAACCTGTAAACAAAAATTATCATTCGAAGAACAAACACCCATTAGTACAAGGATCCATATGAAACTCATATAGTATTCAGAGTCTGGTTTTTGAACTAAGGGCATCAACTTACCTCTCCGGCGTAATGATTAACTCTGAAGGCTCGACCCCTCTCTCCTTTGAAGCAAGAGTTGGTTTTCAAGTGTTGCTTGAGCTTATTGGCAAAGGTCAAATCAGTTGCTTTCGGAAAATTCGATTCCTCATCTAGTAGAGACAACAAACCAATGGGTTTCTGCACAAGCAAACATATGCAAGAGATTACTTCTTAAAACATACAGAAATGTCCTTATAGCGTAGAGCAAAGCAACATATATATTTAATGGTTAAGCGAATATAAACGGTCATTAATTACCTTCTCAATTAGATCTAAGCACTCTTGATTGTCTTCAAATTCGACCTTAGTCCAATCAATTCCATCCTCTTCATATTCCTGAACAGAGAAGTTAATATTAAATGAAACAGTAAAGCTTTTTGCAGGCATTATTACATCATCTAGACCAAAAGAAGAATCACCTCTTGTTCAAGTTTAAATAAATGCCGGTTGAAGTGTTGCTGCAATCTTTCATTCGCATAGTTTATACAGAACTGTTCAAAGCTATTATTCTGAAACCAAGAAGAAACAGATCATCAACACAGGATTTCAGAAAAATTAGAGATTCATAAAAATTCTAGAGCATATATGGGTACTAACTAACCTTAAATGATTCAAACCCATATATATCAAGGATGCTTATAGATCTCCCTGTGCGTGATTTACCAACTTCCAGTGCAATGTTAATTTGCTCAGCAAGCCAGTCGAAAAGGTTTGCATAAATAAACTTTGCTATTCCATCCCTCATGTCCGTTGCCTGCAGTTAATAAGGCACAGAAACTCATACACCACCTTATGGTCGATTTATATGAAAATAAGTCTCAAGCAAGACCGGTGACTAATAAACATTACCTGCCGCAATGTCAGTTTTTTGGCAATACAATCCGTACCAGCTTGAAGTTTACGGGTAGACAAAACCACCATAAGCTCTTCTGAGTTGCAGCCCATTAGCATAGCGGCATTGGTGACAGCTGTAAGAAATAACAGCTATATGATAAGCAAGCAACACAAAGTTACAGTTTTTTTTATGAATTAAGACTGTAGATTCTACCTTCATCTGCTACCACCTCCACATGATTTTCATTGTCAGTAACTCGAAAAGATACATTCCCTAGCCACAACACAGCCGCAAGCAAGGCAAAAACACGCTCTTGATGCTCTTTAGGGATTTGAACAATGTCAAAAGCTTCCTACAAAAGTAGAGAGATGACTGTGAGAGGAAATACATAAGTACAATTATATTTCTATATATATCTAATGAATCTCACTCGGCATCTAAAGATTCACCATGGAAACAGAAGCAAGCACAGGAAAGAGAAACAGAAAATATTACCAGTAGTTTGTGAAATTTTTGAGCATCATCAACACCGTCAATGGTCAAGCAGTCACTCTGGTTCAAGTAGGTATACTCACTTGCTGTTCTAAGCTTCAATCTCTCTACAAATGATAGTTTATCCAAAGAAAAAATTAAGCAATGTGTATGCCTGTCTATGTTTTATTTCAGCAAGGTATTTCTCCAGAAATATATATATATATGTATGCCGCCAAATAAATAAGATAACAGAGTTAAATCGTGGAGATTTCAGTTTGTAATGTTACCTTTAAGAATCGGCGAAGCACCTGCACAAAACTCATAAAATATATGGTAGGATCTTTCGCCATTGAACAGCTGAACCACTCTTGACTGGTTAAAGAATACTACCGATTAGTGACCGATGACTAAGTAGTGAAAGTCAGATAAAAAAGATTCTCAACGGAAACAAAGTTACCTTCTCTAGCAGAACTATGACCAAAGCGTAGTAAAGCAAAACATGGAGAAGAAGACAAAAGAAACGGAGTGAGCTCCAAACCCAAAAACAATATGAGAAACAAACATATGTGTGCTCAGATTATACTCACAAGTTTCAAGTTTGGCTCCACATATCTTTCCCGTTGCACTAAAATGAATTTCTATGAGTTTACCCTGCGTCAGTTAAGATACACCGTTTAAAGTTTTTCAATTTACAAAATGACAGTGAAGCTAATTGACGGAGGAAGGAGGAGACTCACAAATCTGCTAGAGTTAGCATTTCTTGATGTTTTAGCATTCCCAAAAGCTTCGAGTATACAGGTTGTCTTCAGTATTTCGTACTCAACTCCACAGCTACCTCCACCAAGAGCTGCCAAATACTGCATTGCAAATTTCGCAGTCTCAGTTTTCCCAGCTCCACTTTCTCCACTGCAGAACAATAATAATCAATATAACTATCTGAAAATCACATCATCTATACAAAACCATCCAGAAGTATACAAATTTCAGAGAGCAAAGACTCATACCTTATAATAATAGACTGGTTCTTCTCTTCTGCATGTAGAGAAAAGGCTCAAAATGTAAGTGCCAGATAGTCACTTGAAGAGCGATGAGGAAATCTCAAAATCATGTAAATAGAAAACGCGTGACTATAAATGCGTCTTCCTCACCTCTCATCATCTCATCATAAGCTGCATCTGCCACAGCATAAACATGAGGAGTATCCACAGCCTTCTTCTGATAAGCTGAGATTACATCATTTCCATATATTTCGACATTCTTGAACGGATTTACAGCAATCAATACTGGCCCTGCTTTACTCTATAAAAAAAAAAAAAGATACATGAAAGTTAGTCAAGAGCTAGGCAAAAACTGTGAGAAACTAATACAGAAGAGTTGGGACTCTCAGTAAAACTCACATAAATCACGTCTTGCGAATATCTGACACGAAGGTTATAGAGAACAGATGGTTCATTTAGATAGCTAAGCTGTATAAGGTCTTCAACACCTTCCAAAATATCTGGGTTTGCAGGAAAAAGCTCTTCAGTAGACACTTTCACAACCTTTTGATAGCAACACAAAATTCACAAACTTTCCATAGTCAGAACGCAGAAACTCTTCACTATCATATGGAAACTGCAACAGCATTAGAAAAAATAAAAAACTACTTACATTTGAAGTGGACAACATAACAAGCGACGTATCAGCAGAAGTAGACTGTATCTTCCCCAGTTGCCACTTCCCATTCGCAACCCGACACCAAACTAGAAGTTTCTGAAATAACAATACAAACACAATCACCACAAGTAAATCTCAAATTTTAAATAGGTAGAAAACTAAACACAGCTGTTTCATCTCTATAGGGCTTCCACAGAACACTCCAAGGTCAGACCACAAAGTTCATAACCTCACTTGCTCAAGTCATCACTAAAAGACTCATTTCCTGATCCTATCCCTTGGAGACAATTCAACTTCACTACAAAACATCAGACTCACCTTCTTAATGAAATACTCAACATTGTCGTTCCACTCGGGTTTATGCTCCTCCGCTTTCTCCACCGGACTAACCTTAGCAGCACTGATCTTCACACCTTCCTCCTCCTCTTTCTCTGCTGCGTACGGAGACTCCGAGCTATGACGAGTCCTCATCTTCTTGCTTCCGAAACTGTTCCTCTTAACTCCCAAGTCCTTCTCTTTCCTCTTCCCTTCCTCTTTCCTCTCCGGTTCAGTTCCCGCCTCAGGCTGCGCAGGAGCAACACTCCCGTTCTGATCCTCCATTACACTACAAACACTAAACTTCGCCGGAAGCGACCGGCGAGCCGACGGAAGACGAGCTCTGGAATTCGGCCGTGAAGGAAGCGCCGGCGGCATGTCTCTAGGCCGATCGCACTCGTCTTTCTTCCGGAGAGACTCAAGCATCTCCTCCAGCGAGCTTTTCGCTAGAGTGTTCGGCGACGCCGATAACATCATTCCCCTTTTCTTTTTTCAAATCAGACCCAAAAATGAATCACGGGAGAGGCAAAATTCGACAAACCCAACACCAGAAAACCAGAAATTCGGAGTCTTAATCGACAAGCATTTCACAAAATCCGAGCTTGATAAACCCTAATTTCTCAAATCGGTGCAGTGAACGAGGAACGTCGGAAAGGAAAAAGAAGAAAATCCAACGCCTCGTTAACCATGCATACTTCCTCGAAACCGGAGAGAGCTTCTTGGGAACAATCCTATAAACAACAAAATTCAGAAATTCAGCGAAGAATCTCTCAACATTTGTAGACGCGGAAAATTTAAAATCTCGAGGCTCCTCCATTTCTGGTAAGGAAATTGAAAACAAAATTTGGAAAAAAAATAAGGAAAACATAAATTCTGGACTAAACGGGAAATCAACAAAACCTGATCTTTGCACAGACGAAGAAGAGAAAAATGATTTGAAAAAAAAAAACAAAAAAAGAGAGAGAGCGAAACTTACGAGGTCAATGGAGACAGGACAGAGAGTCTCTCTCAGGTTAGTTTGTTAGACGGAAAACAGGAGAGAAAGAAAAACGAATTGTGTGTCCTGAGAAAATTTTAAAACCCTAAGATTTTCCTTCTTCTCTTGTAAGAAAATGATGAATTTTTTTCTCTAAAGGATGCAACTTTTGCTTTTTTTTATTGGAACGAAGAAGATAAAAAGAGTAATGAATAAATCCTCTGTTCTTCTTCCCCTCTTTCTCTTCGACCAACAAAAAAAATTCAAATTTTTTTCCTTTATTTTTATTTGTTCAGACAACAAAAAAGGGTCCGAATTTGAATTATATATTGTGTCTGAAAATAATAAAAATATATATATTCCTAAAACTTTGCTATCATCAACGGTCTCATATGAATGTAACCTGAATTTTATAAAAAAATTACCATTAAGGTACTGGATCCACACCATATCAATCCCTTATGACACTTTTTGGTAGTTAACTCGGAATATAAAATCATTAGGAAGTAAATATCCAGTTGACTACTGTAGATGGATCATAGAACATAGATTTAGGTATATGTTAGCCAGATGTTAGCTAATAAAATCAGAGAAATGTTATCATATCATTAGATTTATTTTATAACTTTTTATTCTTATACCATACAAAATGATTAAATGATTAAATTTTTATATATAACTTAACATGATTAATTTTTACTTTTAGTATTAAATCAAGATTTAATATGGATATTGAAATTTCTTTAAATTTTTGTGTTTTAAGTAATTTATTTTTAAGAAACACTAACTTCACTTTTTATTATTGTTGCTCTACAGATTAACCATCTAATTTCGATATAAACCACAAATCCACCTAATAATGAACTAAGGTAGTTATATAGTTTTTCTTTTGTCTACTTAATCTATTTATTTTCTAACACGAATCCTCAAAATCATAAGCTATCCAATATGTGTGTAACCATTAACTTTGTTTCATTAAAAAACTTGGTTGATTATTTAATTTTTATCTTTAAAAAAGGCTATTTAAAATTTGAAAGACAAATGTACTAATTTAGTGAACATGAATAGACGTTGCGAGGGAGATTTTAATATAGAAATAGATCCACAAATGACAAAAGTCAAAAGTATTTGTTGTAGAGCGTGACACGTTGGAGGGAACAATTGGTTGTTAAGGCTTTGCTTGATATATTACCCTTAATCAAGGCGCTCACGTTAGCAACTTTTCACTCTCAAGTCCAACTACCCCCTTTGCTTGGTAGTATTTAGGTTTTTCTAAAACACATAATATCATAGAAAAGATGTTGAAACATATCATTCTAAATTCATATTCTCTAATGTTCACCTTCCAAAAATGTTATAATTCTATGTTTATGTTTAAATTTCATGCTACTATGTGAAAAACTATTAATTTTTCGTTGAGATATCAGATATATCTGTTCTGCTGTCTTTAATTCAAAGACCATCTAACTTTCAAATTCAAACCATACAAATATATTAAAAAATATAATTTTGTGACGAATGCATAACTTTTATAATTGTGTTTTAATTTTGAAATTATAAATAAATAATTCAAATATTAAATAAAAAAAAGTAAACGTGGCTTCCGCTAATCTAGCAATAAAAGAGCACTTAGCTGAAAAGCGTAAGAGCGAGTCAATAATCCGGCTGAACAAATAAGGTGTCGCATTGGAGCTTTAAAGCTAGATCAATAATTACACAAATTAATGTTTCAAATCTTATTTTTTTATTAATTGGTCACCCTATTACCTTGATCATACCACGAATTGTTTCTCATTTTTTTATATTGTAAGAAAAAAAAAATAGAGTCTAGTAATTAATTAGCCAGGTGCGTTTAAAAAGCGGATGTTCATATACTACTTTGATGTGTTTTTATGGGTTAAAATATACTACTACTACTTTTGAGGTTTGCGGTCCAAATCCTTAAAAAAAAAAAAAAAAAAGACAAATGATGAGAATTGTTCGCTTAAGGTACGTGATTAATAATTTACACAACACTCGTGATTTTCAATGTGCCATGTACTTATATCTACTAGTATATTTTGGGTCCCTATAATTTTTTTTTATCAGGCTTTTACGTCGAGACACATTAAATATCAGTCTGGTGCATGCGTTCAATAGTTCTTAATTTATAGAATCAACAACTTCATATGATCGGCAGGTCACCATGCCACCACTTTTCTTAACTTATTGTATTTGTTCATCATTATAATGTTTTCGTTTTTAATTCCGATATGCATGTCTTCGTATTTTTTTCAGTTTCTATTGCTTACTCGGAGAATTTCTAAAGTACAACATTTTCTTACCAACTCTGGATGGCAACTCCGATATGCATTTTCCCGATATTTTTATGCAAAGCAAGTCAAACTTGAGAATCCTTTAAAAAAAAAAAGTCAAACTTATAAATATTTTGTTTGTCAATACTTCTCCCGTTTAAATTTTATATAATCCTACTTAGTCTAGGGGTTGGTTAGAGTTAAGGACCAGAAATAGTTAAACATAATTACTCCCAACACTTCAAATTGTTTTTTAGTTCTCAACACTGAAAGATTTCTCGGTTTCTAACTATAGACAATTTTAAACTTTTTGTTTATTTTCCTTAAAAAAAAAGGTTCTAGACATGCAATGCGATGAGATAGCATCATTGAGCATGATGGAGAGAGAGAGAGTGAGAGTAATGTCTTAATGTCTTAATGTCTTAATTTATTAAAGTTTCTGACAGATGCACAAGGGAATGTCCTCATTTACACTCATGTCTCTTCATGTCTATCCCAATCCTTTTGTCCTAAAGCCTCTGACATTCTTCTTCTTACTTCTTTGTTTTGATGTTGTTGGGCTCGTGTTTAAAGTATGATGGAAACGTAACTCGACTAACTGTTTAATTTATTGTATCCATCAGAGTACATACATCTATGGATCTATGGTTTAATGTTGGTTTACTCAATCGAGTGGTTTATGTTAGGTTTTAGCTATTTGGTTTAAGCTTCTCTTGTAACTCTTTTACAATCGAATGAATGATTTTATATCGATTTAATCTTGAATCTGAAATATTGCAAAGAATTGCTAGTGGACTAAGACTTTGATTCATTGCGGACTTGTGGTTGTAACCGTTCGGCATCTGTGTAGCAGAAACATTGATTGAATGACGGATCTATTTGTTAAAACGTCAATCGGTTTATTGATTTAATAAAAATTGCCAAACGCAAAACCCCAAATTGCCCACTATTTTGTGTTCCTTGCAATTATCACACAGATTTATCTACCATTTTCATATAATAAATGTTTCTGGATGATATAGTGAGTAATTTTTTTGGTGTGGTTGTAGTTAGTGGTAAAGTTTACATTGATATATCATATATGCGTGACTGGACTAATCTCAAGTATGTATGAACATGTATGTATGATTAACGTCTTAATCATTGATCCACTACGCTAAAACAATTAACGACCAAAAATGTCTGAAAGTAATTATTTAAAATTTAAACCAGACAATAAAAAATTATCAGTAATGTTTTATTTTTTAAGCAGATCAATTATTTTAAAGAAAACGATTCCAAGATAAAATCATATATTATAAATGAAAACTATGGATTAAGTTATACGCATCATATGGTCATTAAAAATGGGTATAGCTATTAACACATGCTACATGTGGGTTCAAGATTTTGACGTTGTACGTTTCTAATAGTTGCCTAGCTTGATAAAATAAGATCCGTTTGGTCTTCATATTAAAATTAAAAATCACAATTATTGAACCTTCTTAAATCGAAACGCCGTCTGATTAAAGAAAAAACATGTAATTGTAATTTGTACCCTTCCATTTATAGTCTAGATGTTGGATAAGACACTCTCCATTTCTCCAATATCCATGCATATCTTTAAAATGTCCCTACGAATCGGTGTCGACCACAACTTTTTTTTTTAATACGTGCGAGTGATGTTTTTTTGCTAGAAAGTATAAACCTTAAGTGGGTCAAAGTGTCTTTTGTAATTTTGGTTTTGTTGCAAAGTTTTGGTGAAATCAGCTAAATAGAAAATGACAATTTAGTTTATGCTTTTCCAATGTTCTTACCAGCCCACTTTATTTCGTGATATTATATTATTTATTAACATAAATTTGATTTGACCAAAAAAAAAACATAAATTTGTTTTCTTTGTGAATTACAATAATAAGGTGGCAAAATAAAGTGAAAAAATCAAGCTAGGCATCTAAGAAACATAAGATTGAGCTTACTTACGTTTGCGATACGTTACTAAAACTTGGACGACACCTTAGCTTTTATTTCAGATCGAAGCTTCATGTCCTTTTGATATTGGTTATAGAGTTGTGTTGCATAAGTGAGATATGTGATGGGTCACCTAGATTCGATTGATAGAAAGTGAGAGATAATTAGTATTGTGGGCTTAGAGCTCAAAAGGTTTAGCCCATTAGTGTATATTTTAAACAGAGCCCATATGATGATGATATAGCGAAAATAAGAACAAAAGGAAAAAAAAAATGAAAAATATCTGAAGTGAGAGGACCGTTTCTCTCTCTCGAGTGCCATGAATTTGAGTGTGAACCGATGCATCACCGGTGGTTTCGTCGGCGGATTCTCGAGCTGCAGACTCAATCATGGTGGTGGTGAGTTCTTCTTTTAGTTTTAAGAAACCCTTCGGAGAAATTTGAAAATACCGTAGAGAAGGTTATGAGTAATCTGGATTATTTGTTTGATCGAGCATCATCTATCGTATGTCATAGTTTCTTCAGTTTTTGTATAAATTACTGTTGGAATTTTGAATTCGGATGGTGATAAACTTAATCTCTCTGGCAAATTGAAATTGGGTCGCACAAGTCGTGTTGTCCTTTCAACTACCGCATATTAGTTATCTTCTTCTTCTTCTTCTTTCTTACAGTCACTCAGAACATGCACTGATTGAAATGGCTAGGTTTAGGGAACCCTTAAGGCAATTGGTTCTATGAAAGGTAGTAGAGAGGTTTAAGCCATTTGGGTCATATTATAATTTGCTTTCTCTGTGGAATGCAGATAAAAGATGGGTCCGTGTTACCAAGAAATGTGAGTTTGAGAGAGGGAGAAGTTTAGGGTCTGATTCTGTTTCCTTACATAAGAAAGAGATCACAAGAATTAAGCTTGCGATGTTCGGTAGTGGTTTACTAGGAGGTAATGTTACTCCTCTCTTTCACTTTGTCCTATGGAATATATATTTCAGTCTTCAATCATATAACCGGATAAGATGAAGAAATCTCATCTGTGAAGAACGATTTGCACTCATGTTGGATGTTCTGACCGATTAGCTATTGTTCTGTGAGTCCTGTGATGAGGTTCTAGTCAGAAAGAAGAGTCCAAGTGTGTTTTAATAGCGTAGTTTATGAGCAAGTGTTTGAAACAAAATAGCAGTATTAATGATGCTGTGTCTAAATTCATCGGATCATCTAACTTTATTCTTGGTTTCCCAGTGGCAAACTTGGTAACTCTTAGCTCAGCAAAGGCCGCAGACTTGAAGATGATTGTCTTGGTAAGGTTTAATCCTAGACTATATGATATTTTTCGATTGTTTTCATACTTCTGTGATCTCTTCACTGGTTTCTGTTACTGTATGTTTTACATCTTAAACTGAATAGTTTATTGAGAATGTTTAAGTTGGTGTTTTTTTTTTCCTTGGGGGTTTATAATTCAATATTTTTTTGTTTGGAACAAATTTGTGTTGTGCCTATGCTTTTCCGCCTTGACATGCTTCTGCTTTCGACCATTATCTATTTGCTGTATGCTTGTAAAATCAGAAACTATTTTTTTTTCTTAATACAGGATCAAGCCACTTCTGTTTACATCTTGGCTGAAGGAACACTTGGAGACTCGCTTGGAAACTTCTTGTACTCAGCTAACCAACAAGCTAATGAAGCTGTTCAGGATCAGCTTTCAGCTCTCAGTGTAACAAGGTTTATATATCTCTGGTTCTTTCTCAATGCACGCATTTCCGAGAGTTTAACCATGTGGTTATTTGGCTCTCCTGTGCTAATTTATCATTGTTAATAGTTTGGCAGTAATATTTGGGGCAGGACTTGTGACGAGTCTTTCTCCATGTACACTCAGTGTTCTGCCTTTGACACTTGGTTATATTGGTATGATAACTCATCTCAATATTTTGCATTTCTCACATGTTATGATCAAATTTTAGTTTCATGTTATGATTCTTTCCTCATCGGTCCTTAACATTGCTGTAACATCTAGGTGCATTTGGGTCTGGCAAAAGCAGAGCTCAGGTTAGTGGCTCTTCAGATTAGATTTCTATAATAGCTGTCACGTTATGAGTTAATTGGATCGGTGTCATTGTAGTAATCAAACATGATACATCACTTTGAGTCACATTTGTACTTCTCACTAACATTTTCCACCTCTCCATGGACTTAAAAGGTTATAGGAGATGCAATTGCTTTCTCACTGGGATTAGCAACTACCTTAGCACTTCTTGGGATAGTAGCCTCTTTCGCCGGAAAAGCCTATGGACAAATAGGACAAGGTCTGCCAGTAGCTGCATCCGGTGTGGCTATTGTAATGGGTCTCAATCTCCTCGAGGTAATTCAACACAACACTACTTTTTCTTTCAGCATCATTACCATTGCCATGTCCAACACAATCTCTTTTGTTCTCATCTTACAGGTAGTCCAACTTCAGCTTCCATCTTTCTTTGACAACTTTGATCCTCGTGCTGCTGCAGCAAACTTCCCATCAAGTAATCCTCCTTGAGACAAAATCTTTTGTGGTTTTTTTTTTTTGTGGACCTTTACTTTCTTCTGCTGTTTCTAACACTTATGGTGACAAAATGTTTCGTTTAGGTGTACAAGCGTATCTAGCTGGTCTCACGTTCGCACTTGCTGCCTCTCCTTGTAGTACTCCAGTTCTAGCCACCCTTCTTGGATACGTGGCTACTTCCAGGGTAATTTCGCTGTGTGTGAATATGGGAACTGGTTTAAATATATTTTGTTGTTATATAAAGAAATTGCTCATATTGTGAAAACACAGGATCCTGTAATTGGTGGAAGCTTGCTCTTAACGTATACAACAGGTTACGTTGCTCCACTCATCCTCGCTGCTTCTTTCGCCGGAGCTTTACAGGTGAATCTATATGTTTTCTTCAACCATATATAGCGAATTGCGAAAGTTTGTGAAGTTTCAATAGTTTTTTTGTGTGGTTAATTAGTAATAATCTACTTATTTTTTACTCTCTTGGATTTCTGCAGAGCTTACTTTCGTTTCGTAAGGTCTCTGCATGGATCAACCCCATAAGGTTCGTTAGATAAATGCATCCTAAAGCTTATAAATGATTTAATATTTTTGTTAATTTACTAAATTTATGTTTTGTCAATTTTTTTGATGTGTTTTGTTGTCTAGTGGTGCTCTTCTACTGGGAGGAGGTTTGTATACATTCTTGGATAGGCTTTTTCCTGCTGCTACTATGGTCATGTAAATATTTGTCACATACTCATTTCTGCCAAAAACAAAGTGCGTAAGACAATATATATATATAGTATATAAATAACAATGTCTATAATGTAAAATCTTCAAAAACAAACAAACAATCACTAGTCTGGTCTCTGTTCACATATCATCCTTGAATTTAAACCACACGATTAATGCGATTTTTGGACGCCTACAAGGCTCGAAAGTAACATAACAATCATAAACAAACACACATAAGTACACATCTTCTTTTTGTTTGGCATAAGTACACATTTTTGTCTTCCTACTTAAAATTAAACCTCTCAAGTGGTTCTAAAAAAGAGTCAACTTTTGCGACTGTGCCGGTGGTGCCGTCCTTTTCTCGTGTTCATTGACAGCTAAAAGAAAAAAAGAACAGACACTAATTTTTTTTTTATTTACAAACGAGTCCCTCCATTTACCATTTCGTTATACTTAGCTAAAGATTCTAGTCTTTGCAATCTCATCTCTTCGTTGAACTTTTTTATAAACGCTTCTACACGCCGATTCAGCTCCTCCTGACCCGGCGACGGCTCGCGTTTCAGCCGCGTTTTCCGCAGCAGCGTCTCCTCCTCCTCCTCCGTAGGGGCGTTTACGTCATTTAAGTTCTCGGACTTGGTCATCTTCTCCTTTGAGCTCTGCACGTGCGTCCTTTCCTGCCACGTGTCGGATTTCGTCAAGTGCTTCGTTAACGGCGTCGAACGTCCTTCCGTTATCTTCTTCCACGTCGTCTCCAGCGTGTCTTGCCTCCTCGGTGGCTTTGATACTCCTAACGCCGACTTTTTATTTCCACCTGAAATTTTGGAAACTGTTCATTTACGATTTTGCCCCTCCCAGAAATTCGAATTTTCCGAGCGGAAACTTCAGTCATCTCCAGATTCAAATTTAGTTTGTGTGATTCGACGAATTAATAAATATACCTTCTGGAATATTCTTAAGCGATTTTGCGTGACCGAATCTCGGCGGTTTCCTCGTATTCTTCAGAATCGAAATCTCCGGCGAATCACTCTCCGGTTTCGGCTTCTCCGTGTCCGGCTCTGGAGAATCGGAGCTCAGTTTTGGATTCTCCGTCTCCGTCTGTTGATTATCTCCATCATCGACTATCACCTTATCATCAGCGATGACTTCAGGAAATTTCTGAACATCTTCCACCGCCGGATCAACCGGCGAATTACTCTCGACAAATCCGGTATAATCAGAAGCAACGTTTAAATAACCGATGGTTATATCAGAAGGTACCGGTACTACCGTAACCGGCGTAACTTCTACGGAGAAATCAGAATCATCGATAGTGGAAGCCGATTTCTGGGTGAGCTTCGATGTAGCGACGATGGAGATGATGATGCAATTGATGACTAAGTAAAGATACGGTGGCTTTAGGAGGAAGACGGTGTTATCGTAAATGATCGGAAAACAGGACGCCGCGAAATGCGAGACTGAAGGAACGGTGAAAAGCACCGCCGTTGCAACAGAGAAAACGCCGGCGATGACGACGGTGGCCGTCGTTTTGAAGGAAGAGGTGGGGAGAAGAATAGGCATGGTGAATGATCTCATTTGCCTCGGGAATTTCTTTGAAAGTTAGTTCGGTGGTTCTTATCTACAAAAGCTGTGTGTGTGAGTGTATATATATATATATTAAAAAAATGATGAAATTAAAATTTTAAATGTGGTCCTTATTGTGTGGGCTTTTCACAGAATCATAAGTGGGCCCTGTTTATAAGGTATGGTGATGGAGGCTTATCTGAGTGACACGTAATGCTTGTAGTTTGATGCTTTCGTTTGAAGTTAACCTTGACCTAACATTACAACAAGATTTGACAATAATAAAGTAATAATTTATGCATTGTGAGATTTGAGATACACGAGACTTCGCAACAAAAGTTTAGCTGATTGAGTCTTAACTTGAGAAAACATCATGACATAAAACAAAAACAATTAACAGTAAGTAATTGTGAAAATAGTTAATAGACGAAGTAAAAACGATAAGGGTTTTATAAGGTTTTGTTTCTTTGTCTTGTTTTACTTTACAGTTTTACCGATTCGTCATAAAAAGAGTGGTACACAATGGTATGGTTTATATACTACACCGACTAAGAATAAGATAATAGGATTTGTAACATTTTAGAAGTAAAAATCTTGATTTGCGATTTTTATACAACCTTTACATTTGATTTCACCGACTATAAACGTTACATTTACGGTATTAGAACTTAGAAGTACAAAAACAAAAGCAAATAATAAAAGCATATACTGTTGAGTTGTGATTTTTAGGTAATGTAGGCCATTTTCATTGACATTGTAAAAATAATAGGTGAAATTAATGTGAGAAATACAAATTATGATATATGTGAATAATGCTTTGGATAAGGACATGCAGAACTAAAGCTATAATTATTGAGATGTATATGCATACGTTCAATTTATTTGCATATTAATAGTAGATTTGATTTGACAATTCAAACCCATGAAAGATATAGATCGCATTACGGGTCAACAAGCACAACAAAATTCTACCGACCATTTTGGATTTTTGTATACTTGATACTGATTGTTCTTCATATTATTTTAAATAAATACATCTTTAGAACTTAAACTTCTGCTCAAAGCTCGGTACAAGACCGACATGGTATTTTTGTTTTTAATAACCAAATGTATAAGCATAAACTCGGACGTGGTCTCATGTGTTAGACGTAAGGAGACAAAGAATGTAATAAAAACAATATATGTAGTAACAAATCTAATGTACAATTTATTGAATTTACAGTAAGAAACTTAGCATTAGAAGATCTAGCTCTGATGAAGCTAGGATTTAAAGAAATGGTACTAAAGGTTTTTATGAAGGAACACAACTACCGCGTAAAAGATTCTTTGAACTATTAATTAATTACTATATAGGAAAGTGTTTTTGTGAATGAAATATTAATGTCCCAAATCTGATTATCTACACAATTAAATTGGTTTACGACATCTTGTAAAGAAAAGGTAAACGAAGGTTGGCGAGTGGGAGGTACAAAATATTGTGGTGAAGAAGAAGGAGCTTTAAGCCATTTTGACCAAAGTCCGAACAATGCCAAACTAAAACCTTTTTGAACGCAAAAACAGCCGTCCAATAACAAGTTCAACATCAACACGTCGCCTTTATTGATCTTACCAATAAAGGTGGATGGGTTTGTTTCTGAAAGGGTTTTCGAACCGTTTCTTTGTTGTGCTTAATTCCCAAAAAAAAAAAAAATTGTACGCTATCAAACTCAATTACATATACATCTAAAACTTTTGAATCTTTGTTTACATTTTTGCGTTTGATTTTTACGTTTACATGTTACAGTCATATTGTATTTTGTTTTTTTCTTGTTTCAAATGGACCTACAATTTTAAGAACCTCTCTAACACTCTTCTCAAGTTGGTGCGTGTAAATTGTAGACGCCCAACTTGGAAAGTAAGTAATCGAAGTTTGATTTCCCCAACGCCTTTGTCATGACATCCGCCACTTGCTCTGTGGTACAGACATGTTTTGTCGTAATGAGGCCATCACGAACTGCATTGCGCACACTATGACAGTCAGTCTCTATATGCTTTGTTCGCTCGTGAAATATTGGATTAGCGGCAATATGGATAGCAGATTGACTGTCACAGAACATATCCATAGGCCCATTTCAAGGAATCCCAAGATCCGCAAGTAACTTACTTTCGGATACCATGTTAAGTTTATGGGCTTCCAACTCAAAATCAATTGGTAATGAGTGGATTGGTCCAAGTCTTATATATATTAATGTTGGTCCTTTTAAACTTCTGATGTGGGATTTCAACACGCCCCTCGAGATGATGGCTCTTATCAGCCCATCTCGAACTGAATTCCATTTTAGGATTAGTAATAAACCTTTTTTAGGTCATCCTATTTAAGTTAACAAACAAAGCTCTGATACCATGTAAAGGAGTATACAGCTATGGGAACTTGATGATTTTATTCACATTGGCAATCGCCTATATATATATACTTACAGATAAGGATTATGAATATACATGTTTATCTAAGTAACATACGAATCTAATATGACAATATAATGTTATCCTTATCCTAACGTTCTAGAACCCTCTAGAACCTCTCTAACACTTACTTCAAATTCATTTGTAAACTGTAAACGCAAAAATATAATGTTATCAAACTTTACATTTCATAACTCAATTATTTTTTCTTTTTTGACGGCTACCATAACTCAATTACATATACATCTAACAGACTTTTAAATCTTTGTTTACCTTGATTTTTACGTTTACATGTTGCAGTCATATTGTATTTTGGTTTTTTTCTTGTTTTAAATGGACCTACAATTTTAAGGTTTTACTTCAAATTCATTTGTAAATTGTAAACGCAAAAATATAATGCAAACGGGAACACGATGAGTTCTTCTTGCGTTTACAAAAGATACATATGTGACTTTTTTTTTTTTTGTTAAAACAGATTCTCTAATGTACAAAAAAACTTGTCTAAAACGATCGGAAGATAATCCATTCTTTATTTTATTTAAATAAGCAAAAACTATTGATAAATTGTATATAACGGCTTAATCGAACGAAAAAAAAAATCACAAATAAACAATGTGGAGTAGAACAATCCACGTTTTCTGGCGTGCATACACAAAATTACATGCACATATGGATAAATCTCCTTTTTTTCTTTCTTCTCAAGAATTACATCTATTAGTCTTTCAGCAGTCGAGTAAAATCAAAAGCCCAAACTACAACAGAGTTTCAAAGGAGAAAAAAATTGTTTAACTGAGAAAACTGTCCAGAGATGATTGATTGTATATATCTTTTAGTTCTTCAAATTTAAGACAAATTTTTTAAGAACGGAAAATTCAGAAAAAAACCTCTCTCTTGATCAATGTTTTGTGAACATCCCATCCATCAAGGAAGAGAAGTCAAAATCTTTGCCTGATTGAGAAGATGGTGTGTTACTCGTTGGTTGTGCAGCGGTTGATGATGACTGAGGTTTACCGGTTGAGTTTGGGGTCATACCGTTTGCCGCGGAATTAACTTGACCCGTCGTGTAGAAACTGCATTAGTAAACAAACAAACCAAAAAACAGCTTAAAGATCTTATTATTCTATAACATGATGTCACAAATTAGAAACTGTGATACGGGTATACAAACAGAAAGCAGTTTTGTGTACATACCTGGATATTGGATATTGTAAAGTGTTCTCTTGCGGTTGTGCGGGTCTCATGTTCATGTTTGCGTTCATGTTCATGTTCTGAAGTTATGGCGATATAACCAGAAGAGCAAAGAACATGTGAGAATTTTGCAGGAATGTGGTCGATGGTATAGCTTTTAAAAGTAAAGTAGTTTAGATCTTACTTGCATAAGTTTATGGAGATCAGCTTGACCACCTGCTTGATTAGCCATTCCAGGGATCTGGTAGCCAGTGTTTGACCAATTTGCAGATGCTAAGTTAAGAGCATTAGCAACAGCTTGTTGATTCACGCCGTTTGGATTCCCGCCTGCGGCTTTTGCTGCAGCCATGTAAAGGGCTTGCTGCTGAGCAAGCATAGCAACCTGTTGCTGATGCATTGCAAAAGGCGACACTATATTCGTCTGTAAACAAATGAAAGACACAGAGTTACATCACTTTTGAAATTCCAAAAGTGCAGTGTTGAAATAAACAGAGTATCAGTCTTTATATTTGTAACTTGCAAGTTAAACAGCGATACAGAAAGGAAACTTGGAAAGATGAATTTCAATAGAAAAGTAGTCACAAGTCACCCAACATAGCAGTAAATCTGAGAAGAGTAAATAACTGACTTGAGAATTTACCTTCTCAAATAGGCTCATGATATCGCCTTTCACATCTTTCTGTTGTGCTTGTTGGGATGTTAAAATAGGTGTGTCTTTAAACAAATCCTCAATCCCAGTAGCTGGAGGAGAACTGCTCTCAGCAGGCTTTGCTGTGACGCTTTTCTCTGCTGTTTGACCACTTCCAGCCGCTACAATTTTAAGATTCAGAAATTAATTTACGTAAGTACGAGTTACGTAAACTTAACAAGGATATGAAAAATGTGCCACAATGATATTAAGACATGCACATGCTAGATAGGTACATACACTGAAAGCCAGCCCATGAGTTATCATCAGCTGGAGCTGCCTCTGAGGTATTTGCAGTCGGCTCATCCATTGATAGCATGTTGAAGAGGTCAGTAGCAAAATCCACCTTTGGAGGATCTGATGCTGGTGCAACATTTACTGCTGGTTTCGTCGTCTCCACAGGAGCAGCTGCAGATTCTATTTTCTGCTGTTGCTTTATAACCTATTATTTGTTAGCACCATGTATCAGAAAAAACCAGGCTTTATAAGATTATGATGCCCTAGAACAAAGTTTAAGAATATAAGGTCAGACATATAAAGCATACGCATTACTTCTGATATCCTAAGGTTATTAAATAAGATCATTGCATGTGGATTCTTGATAATGCTGGGTAAGTAAGGCACTATCTCTTTAGTAATACATATCGTCTGGTTAGTATGTTTGGTACCTGATCAGGTCCTTGGGGAGGCACGGGAAGACTTATCCTCGTTGCAGAAATACTATTTCTTGTTCTAGGTGCTTGGATAGTTTTCTTCTCTTCAAACAAATTTACAGGACTACTACTGTGCCCATGCTCATATCCAGCCCCACTTCTCTCCACAGATCTCCGGCGTTCCTGCTCAACCCTTGGGGGTGATCTAGCCTTTTCACCTCTAGACACCCATCTCTTCTCTTCATACCTAGACACGTCAGGTCACAAGAATTAAATGAATGTCAATATGCATAACAAGATAAATAAGTAAAATTCAATCAAGTGGAATTAACTGAGGAGTTTGTAAATTGCAAAGAGAGGGACATACTTTGCACGTATGAAATTCTCAATTCCAACTCTATCATAGTTTGGGGGTAGCTCAGCTTCCCAGTAACTATTTGCTTTCTCATTTCCCATCGCTGCATGCAAATGAAAGATTATATACTTTACATGGGTTAACTAACCACCTACAGAGAATTAAGTTTGAAAGAAACTTACATTGGATAAATGCAACCTGCTCTGGGAGCCATGTGTCCAGAGTAGCAGATCGAACCTACACTCATCAGCCCAAAACTCAGATGTCCGCTAGAACAAATAAGTCGCTTATGCAGTTATGATGCTAAGGTTAGCATCGACTTGACCAGAAGGACCCAGCTCATATAAGAAATCATAAGGCACAACTTAATCATGTATTAACTAGATAAATGACATTTTTGCTAGTTAGTGAAGGGGCACCACAGAAAAGCAGAGAGATTTGATGCATTCAAGTCAGAGTTCTCAGCTACAGAACTACAGAAGTAACACTTGAGAACGAAATACTAGATGAAACTGTGCAAATATGAAAAACTAGAAGAAACCCAAACTGACAGTATACAGAGAATTCAAGCCAATAAATAACAAGAAGATAGAACTAAGATCTGAGCTTCTGTCTCAAAACGCAGCATCGAGAAAACAGGTGTAGAAAGGAAACTTAGAAACGACCTTTGATATGTGTACCCCAAGACTCCTGTGAATCCCAGAACATTGCATGCAGATAAAGATACCTAAATTAACACTAGCCCATCTTGGACCTCTGCAAAGCAAATGGAACTGTATAAGCCAAAAATACCAACTTGAGCCAGCATAATGCTGATAATAAATTCAAATCTGCTACAAAACCATACTTTGTTTTGCAGTCAGCGCATTCTCTGTTCTCTGGATGTTTAAGAAGCCCTTCAAGAATCTGCAAATAAGCAGGACCAAAACCAAGGAATCTTCAATCTACAGACTAAATCGAACACAAAGAAGAATCATCTCAAAGAATGATTTAAAACTAACAGAATTGACATGTTCACCAAACCAAAATCAATCAAATTTAGCAGCCATAAGTAGCAGATCTGCTCATCAAGATAAGTTTCGTCAATGAACACCCGAAGTTCTCGAAGACCTGACATGCTTCAAGCCTATAAATGAATGAATCACCTCAAAGGCTACCATTACCTTTGATGTTATCCATTAGTTCGCTTCGTCCAAAATCAATCAATAGATAACTAATTTCTATAGAAAAACACTAAACTGAACGAGATCGTATCTCTTTGATGTGGTGATCAGGAGAAGAAACGTTTCTACAGGACAATTCAGTAAGCCTACGTTGATAGTACAATCATAAAATAATATAAAAACAGATCGTGATCAGCTATTGTCCTATAAAGCAAATCGAATTGGATAACCTGATGAAGAATATACTAGCTGAAACGATCGGAGATCGACGTTACAAAAAAAACGCACCTAACTACAGGAAAATCGACGAAAATGAAGAACTCTAGCTGCTAAAACACAGATCCAATCGGATTAAGATCGTCCAGAATCCATGATTAATCATCGATCGCTAGCAACCAAAATCGGATACATGAAAACAAATCCGCAAAGCTCGGGGAAAACCAATAAGAGGAAAAAAATCTGAGATTCAGAGACCTTTCTATGGCGGGCATTAAGCTCCTTGGAGACGTTGGCTTTCTCGTTCATGGTGGATAAATCAAAGATGGAGGAGAGTAGGAGAATCGGCGATGAATCCGGCAAAGAGGAAGAGCTGAAGAAAAAAATCTGCGGAGACGACAAGGTCAAAATGGTCTTTTCACCTTCAGCGCTCTCTCTCTCTCTATCTCTCTCTCCTCTTCCTTTAAAAAAAAAAAAATCCTTTTCTTGCCCTTTCAGAGCGAGCGACCAGAGAGAGAGAGAAAGAGATAGAAACTAAAATGGGCACAATACTTTTGGACCGTTCAGATTATGGGACTTGGTTTATTCCGTTTAGTTTCGGTTTCGGTTTAGTTCTCTAAATAAATTGAAGAACATGTATATACGTATGCTTCGGTTCACTCGTAATTGCACCGTGGAAACTTTTTACAAGACAATCTCAAAACCTTACACATGATTTTTAGTAAAATGTAAAATTGGAGGGATAACTCTTTTGAAAAATATTATTGATTAATTTCTTACTAAATGTTTCGGAATAAAGCTTATAATTTCCAGTGCAAAAATAACTTGTAAGTAGATTTTGACTTATCAAAACTCAAAAGCATAGCTCGGTTTATTTGACTTTTTTACGTTTCTTCCGGTTAAGTGGTTTAGTCTTTGTCATTCAAGATAGAGATTATAAGAAGGTGGAAAATAATCACATGGCCATCTCATCTGTTATGTTTGTTTCCACTTTGGAGTTGTTGTATTTGATTCCAATTTTGTGATACTTTGGGACATATTTTATTTTGTAAGATTTTCATTTGATGTAGTGTTTCCAACCAAAACACAATTTACATTTTAAACAATTATAATATCTCAAGGATTCCTAAAACTCAATAGTCAATATGACTTTGGTTGTCATGCGAACTACACCATAGTTTATTATAGAGTAATAACACAAAATAGCATAAGATTGGTAGTCAATTGAGCAATCCATATATGCAATTTTTGGGTCTAAGCATGAAACTATTTTGCCACTTATGTTTTCGCTTTTGCCCTTACGCGCTCCATTGAAATATTACTTTTTTTCTCTTCAAATACTAATTACTTATTCACAAAACGAGACGAAGGGATATGAAGACAAAAAACACTTTTAGTCCATCACTTTATTTAAAATAGTTGTAACTTATTTTCTTTGTTAAAAATAGAGCGGCATATTAATATCGTGCCTCTTGCTTTCACGGTACCCCATAACACCACTTCGCCGATTGATTTATCCTATTTTCGATACTTCCAAAGTTTAATCGATACCATTGGACGGAACAGAGTGAAAGGCAACCGCAAGCGACATCCGGTAGATCTTAGCGATTCAGACGCCGATAGGTTATTTTTCAAGTAATCCCCAACCGTCTTCCAAATGCGAGACCATCAGGTCTTGCTATTATATTATTTCCCCTGAAGTTACCACTTTCACTCGCCGCTAGGGATTCTCTTAGTTTGTAGCAACAATTGTCAGAGATATTCATTTTGCATGTTGTTTTCTTTTCTGATTTTCTTTTTAGACATGTAGTTCGAACCGAGACAAGTTTGGATTGATGGATTTTCAAATTCCATGCAAAACTATATTTTCCTTTGTGCTCATTCAGATTCAATAGCTAAAACTTCCCCCTGAGAAATAGGCATCCATCTACATTTATGAATGTTTATGAATCCGATCGGCATTTAAGATTTACAAATAGAGTCCATATTTGTACATGGCTTGCATTGTCGATAAATGGACCTTCATATTCTTTTATCCGGCTCTACAATTTAAAATGATCTCACCATGTCTTTATTTTTGGTAACGGAAATCAGCACTCTCACAGCACCACATGTCTGTTTATTAACCCTTATCACTAATTGTAATATATGTATCGTAGACTGACATCGGTTTGTAATCAGCATTTGCAGGATGGAACCAAACGATCTTCCCTTTTGCATCTTCGCTGATCAGCAGGAGCCGGTGGGAGAGAGAGTAAACTCCTACTTCAAGCTTGAAACCATTGGTGTTATCCTCAAAGCACTCAATCCGGACGAATTAAATGTGATCCGCCCGCGGTTCAGAAAATTGTTAGACCTCTATCACAAAATCGCTCACTCTGGAAAACTTGCCAACTTTCTCCTAACGAGGCAGCTGAAGACCGACAAAAGACACGAACTCTGGTTCGTATTTGGGATCTCGACTCTGCCGGACAGGTAACTTCATTATAAACCCGGGTAGCCCTGTATCTTATGATATATATCTCCAACAATGTAATCAGATACTCGAATATATGGATGTCTAAGTTTGAGCATGTGGCCTTATAAATCAGTTTGCGGGTGTTCTTTTGTAGGTGGCCGTGACTTCAATAATCGAAGGCGAATTCGATGGAACTCCCCAAAGTACCTTCGCATGTGCCGATGAAGTAGATGACCCCAAGGTGGATCACATGGAGATGCTATCTTCATCTTGCAGTCTTGTTTGTTCCTATTTATGGCATGAACATCTATCTTCACCTTGCAGTCTTGTTTGTTATTGAACACATGCCCCAAATACAGCTCATATCCTTTATATGCTACATCCAATATGACATTCTCTGTTTGATCCAATCCTGAGTAAACCCGTCCATCAAATACATTAGATGTCTTTAACGTTTTTTACTTTGCAATGTAGTGTTCTTTTAGCAGTCATTCAGATAATCGTTCATCATATTTAATAACATTTCACTAATATTAATAGACAGTTATATAGCCTCATATACTAACATATATTATAGTTACAGGAGCAATATAAAAATCCATGAAGGAAAATAACACACTATAATATAATTTACGGGTACGCGATCCGCTGAGTAAATATAACAATCTATGGAACAACATAACTTTTGGAGTTGAATATAACACTCCATTAATGTTAATAGACATCTACAATACACTTTTATTATTACAAATTGCCATCACTTTCAAATAACCCATTACAAGTTTATATCCGGCCCGCACTAAGTATATATCCATCCAGCAACACAAATCGCCACCCCCCCCCCCCCCCCCCCCCCCCCCCCCCCCCCCCCAGAAGCACTTCAATATTAGACATAGATATTCATAAACGAAATGCATGGACCAGAATATATGTATACCTGCTTTAACCGGTTGTAGCACTACATGAAATTAGAGGGAGGAAACCACTATTTATGGACACTCCACATACCTAGGTGTACCCAGATATTTACATTTTTCTGCCCACCCACTCAAAATATCTTGTTCTAGCATGACTAATTCACAATAACTATCCATCCCTTCAGAATATCTCTTGCATACGTCAGGCGGCTTGAAGATTATCTTGCCTCCCCATTTAATGCCATCCGACGGCTATCTGATCTCGTCCAAATTAATTTAATTGTTCTAGACATATTCAGGTTAATAGTCAGAACCACGCGCAGTCCATGGCACTGCGCGTAATTAGATGAACTTGTTTTTTTTTCCAGCATCATTTAGCCATTTCTTTCTAGCGTATAAATGATTTGTTGTTTTGCTAATTATGTACTCAAATTTAGCCATCCACCTCTTTCTCCCTGTTTTATGTACGTTAAAGAAATATCTAAATATTATTTAAACATCAATGATACTATAATTGGCTATTTATGATCGCAGAGTATTAAACACAGCCTAATTTTGAATAAATTCGTCTGTAGTCATATGTGCTTCTAAGTTACAAGAACAAATACATATTATGGTTGGTTTAATTTTAAAGGTTAAGATATTTTGTTGGCTTAGTTTGTTTTTGGATGAGCTTATAAGAGTGTTAAGAAGCCGCTATGGCCATATGAACTGAAGTTCAGTCAAAGAGTTTGGACATAAGTGAATACAAGTGAGAGAATGAATCCTAGACCACCAGATGAAATGGGTTAGTGGTTTAAATTCAGATATTGATACTGTTGTGCTTGTAGTTCCATTCTTAATGAGAGATGTTTTACGCTAAAATGATATTAATAAAAGCTGATTCTGAACCAGAAGAGAGATTATGACCTAGACCCAAATCTTTCCTAATTAACAAAAAAAAAATGAATCCTAGACGTAGAAGTCTGAACTTCTTTTGTGAAAGAAAAATAATAAGAATCTATAAATTAAGAATTACGCTATAACTTTGTATTATGATATTCACATAAATTTATATGTATATGGGGTAACTTATTCATCCAATTCTAGTACTATTGGTATTTAAACCTAACATTAAAATATATGAGCAATCTTTCAGAAATGTTTTGAAGAAAATACAGTTTTTAAATATAATTATATCAGAATTTTAATGTAATATCTTTCCCAATTATGGCGGATACTATCCAATACACTTGCAACTATTACAAGGCTTGGAAACCGAGATATAACTACACCGATATGAATCAGCGGTTTGGAGCAGCTACATCGACCACAAACTCTACAAGTATCTCATATGCATCTATTCTCCCAAAAAGATCTTGGTCTCAACCTTCATATGGAACATTTAAATGCAATTACGATGCTATCTATGACATAGAAACACAACAAGGTACTGCTGAATGGATTGTCTGTGATTATTATGTTAACGGTAAATATTGTGGATCCTTTACTTTAGATCGAAGTGTCGAACCAACTCAAGTTTTGAGGTTGAAAGAAAAGCTTTTTTGGTGATTTTACAAAACATCTGGTGTATGGA